TACTCGTTTGGAAGATTACATTCGGCGGCGCCATCGGTTATGAGCTTGAGGTATCGTGCCGAGGGCTGCGCGTAGCTTGGGTCGGGGCGCTTCACGCGGTCGGTGGTTTGTACTCTGTTCTCGCTGTCGACAATGGGGGCGAAGAGCGTGTGCGCTTTGAAGGGCTTCGAATCGGGCGTGGTGGGAACCGTATCGGAGGGCGGTAGCACGTAGCAGTCAACCAAGATATCGTCGTAGGCGCTGCCTCCGCCTTCTGTCGCAATGATGTGCGCATAATCGGACAGCGTCACCTCGTATACAACGCCCACCAGGCCCTTGTGCCATCGGTCCTTGTGGTAGTCTTGCGCGTCCGGCACCCGCAGTGCTGTGTTGGCGAAGCAGGGCTCTTTGTAGGGGAAGCCAGGGAGGTCGAAGGTCAACCTCAGCGAGGGAACAAGTACGTTGACTTGTGAAAGCGGACGGATACCGCGCACGCCTCGGAAGGTTTCATTGCACAGGTTCGAGCCATATGCCAGGTACAGCACCGTTTTCGCCTTCTCTTGGGGTGTTGCAGACTGCTGCGACACGAGCTTCTCGGTGTCCAGCGGCGCGTCGGTGAGGGAGGCGTCTAGACGCGCCTGAGACGGCTGTGGTATGGCTTCAAAGATGGTCATGGTAGAATTTACTGTGTGGATGATCCATAGGTAGCGGCCGTATTCGCGTCTTCATATACTGCGCGTAGTTTCGGGCCGTGCCGATTTCGCTGGATGTTTCGTCCGGACCCTGTCTACATCATCGATTCTTGGATTTCTCATCTAACGCCGAGGGCCCGAGCACGACCCGGGAGCCTACAGTAAGCTGCCAACCCTCACACCGCACGAACAAAAGCAACCCAGCTGACTACAACGGACTAATCATCTCTATACTGTCGAAACATATGGGGCTTTGCTTCATTCAGTCATGTCGTATCCCTCGTACGCCATACTAGCGCTGATACCCGCTGTCGTGTGGCTGCTGTATCTCCAAGTAAGCCAATGGCGCTTCAAGCGATTCGCGCACATTCCCAGTAAGCTGTCATCGAGTTTTCTCTTTGGACATCTCGGCCATATCGCGGCGGAATACAAGAACATAAGTAGTACCGTTCATCCAGGTAGGATCCACAACCCTCTGCATGGTCACCACTGATAGCAGCCAGACTATGTTTTCGAAAACATATGGAAGGCTCAAGGCAGCCCGGAATACATGTTCTTCGATACGAGGCCTGTACAGCTTCCACTTCTCCTCATTGCGTCCCATGCGATGGCGGAGCAGGTCTCCAGAGCCAGCAAGACGCAGCAGTACAGCGTTACCAAATCTCCGACTGTTCAAGGGGGCATGGGTGACCTGATTGGGAGGTATTCCCTGATCAGCGAGAATGGCGAATCTTGGAGAGGGCTTCGCAAGACCTTCAATCCAGGCTTCGCGCCGCAGCACTTGCTTTCGTTGCTCCCTGTCATGGTTGACAAAACGCAAACGTTCATGAAAAAGCTGGACGCATTGGCAACCTCCGGTGCCGCGGCCGAGATGGACGGCTATTGCACTGATGTCACATTTGATATCATCGGCGGCTTAGTTACTAACATTGATTGCAAGGCCCAGGGCGACAGTGAACATGTCCATCCCATCGTCCGAAACTTCCGTACGCTGAAGAATGTATATGCTGGGGACAACGGTCTTATGGCATCCTGGTTGAACCCAGTAATGCGCGCCAAGAAATACATATACAGCCGACGACTGGACTCGGCTGTAAAGGCATGTGTCGTAGAGAAGTTTGCAGACATCAAATCAGCGCATCATACAAAGGAGAAGAAAGACCGATCGGTACTCGCGCTAGCGCTGGAAGGCACCGATGAACTGACCCCCTATGTCCTGCAAAGTACTGCGGATCAAGTCAAATCGTTTCTTTTTGCAGGTCACGATACCACCTCTATTCTCCTACAGAGATTGTTCTACGCCCTCTCTATACACCCGGATTGCCTTGCGAAGATCCGCGCGGAGCACGATACCGTTTTCGGTGACGCAGAACCACACGATGTATTCCTCAAACGGCCAGATGAGACCATGAAAGCGCTCAAATACACCTCTGCATGCATCAAAGAAGCTTTGCGACTTTGGCCCCCAGCAGCTTCCGCCCGAATGTCTCACAACAACTTCAAAGTACGCACCTCGGACGGAGAGGACGTGCTTGTCGACAATTGCGTCATATACATCTGCCATCATCTCATCCAACGAGATCCCAAAGTTTACGGAGAGACAGCAAATGAGTTCGTCCCAGAGCGCTGGGTCGGCGACTCGGATACAAGCAGCGCTTCTACTGAAGTCGACGGATCAAGTGCTGGCGAGAGCAAAATTCCCATCAGTGCGTGGAGACCTTTTGAGCGAGGACCCCGCAATTGCATTGGCCAGGAACTCGCCAACATGGAAGCCCGAGTCATTCTCGCATGTGTGATGAGACGATATGACTTTGTCAAGGTCGGGCTTGGAGAAGTTGAGACAGATGAAGCCGGTCGGCCTATCATGGACGAGATGGGCAAGTACAAAACAAAGTCCGAGTTGATTAACGTAAGCTATCTAGTAATTCATCGCAAAGAGTATGAGACTAACTTATCAATAGACGATGTCTATCACCTCACGCCCGATTGATAAGACCGTTATGCGTATCAAGTTCCGCGAGTCTGAGAAACAGTAAGCCACGATTTACGATTCTGATGCCTTGAAGCTTTGTCATTGGAACGTTTCGAAATGTATCAGGTTTGATGGCTTCATGAGAGTACATGTTTCTATCTACACTGTAAATTTTGTCTTGTTCTCCTCCGCACAATCTTCTGCGATTTTTCGTACCTCCCCTTCGCCTAGTTCTTCAAATATATCGAATCCCCATCGCGACTGCACGTTGAAACGCTTGTGTCTCTCCAGCCCGCTCAGCTCATCGAATGCATCTTTCGGTAGCTCTTTGACTTGCATGTTGCTCTTGATCCTGCTGGGTGTAACACTCTTAGGCAGCACCACAGTACCGCGCTGAATGCCCCAACTCGCAAGTAGCTGGCCGCCATCCATGCCCAGTCTTCGTCCTACGCTGCCCACAAGTTCGTCGTCGACCGTGCGTGGCTCTCCCGTCTGGTTGTTTCCGAGGGGTGAATAGGCTTCGATGAGAATACCTTTGCTCTTGCAGAAGTCGAATAAGACAGGCTGTTGGAGGTATGGGTGTGCTTCGATCTGGTTTACCGCCGGCACAACGTCGGTCTTGGATAGAAGATCATTGAGGCGATTGACGGTGAAGTTGGATACGCCAATAGCGCGTACCTTACCGGTGTCGAGCAGCTTCTCCATGGCCTTGTAGGTTGTCGCAGGGTCGATGTCGGCAAGGTCAAAGACGCCACTGTCACGCAATGGGAACCACTTCCCTATAGCACCGTTGAAGGCACTGTGATTATGTTAGTACACTGTGCGTGCAGCGGAACAAGGGTCGAACGTACACAGGCCAATGCATCAAGAACAAGTCCAGGTACTCGACACCAAGGTCCTGTAACGACTTATCGAGTGCTGCCTCTACATCTTCGGGTGCATGCTTGGTATTCCAGAGCTTGCCAGTGAGGAAGATGTCGGAGCGAGGGATACCGCTCCTCCTGATGCCATCACCCACTTCAGCTTCGTTGCGGTAGATGGCAGCGCAATCGATGTGACGGTAGCCTGCTTTGAGCGCTGTCTCGACGGCGCGCTCAACCTCGCCAGGCTTCGCTTGCCATGTGCCGAAGCCCACGGCCGGTATTTGCGCGCCTGTGTTGAGGGTGAAGTGTGTGGGGAGAGGCATGGTTGCTGTAGCGTGACGCGATACGGTAATGCCTAGGTGGGATCAGATAGGCGGGTTCAGGGGTATGCAGTATGATGCAGAGATAGTGTGCGATGTCTCGACAGGACGCACTGCCATCTGGTCGATATATACATCCATAGCGAATCTTCCATGACCACCTAGGTACCAAAGGCGCGAGGCTGTCGGAACGCAGTCGGAACCGGAGACGGAGAAGGCATGATCGAATGACCACACCAGGGCAAGGACAGGACCCAGCGGGATGCGCGGCACTACATCCTGTGATGACCTCCAATTCGTGCAGTGGCTGGACTAAGGCATCCGGGTTCCGTCAAGTGCCTCGGGATTGAAATGGGGAGGTTGGCGAACGGAGCTAAATTATCGGCACGGATTCCCGGAAATGTGCCCGCCTCTTTCTCCCTCCGCCATGTCAAACACACCCAGCAACACGGCGGTACCACAGAAGCGGAGCCTTGATGTCGCGCCAGGCACCAACAATACCAGGCAACGATTGGTGAAAGTCACGAGAGCATGCGATGTGTGCAAGGCGAGGAAGTCAAAGTGCTCTGGCGACCAGCCGTGTGCGAGCTGTATCCGCCGGGGTCTAACATGCCAGTACGAAGCCGTCTACCTGAGAGGCAAGGTAGTCTCCCCGCGCCCTTCTGGTCCCGCCGTTGCTAGCCCTCAGCGCACCACGTCTGTTCCAGGCTATCCTCATGCTATACTTAGTGTCGCACCAAGTATGGCTGTAGGCAGCAACCATCGCGTTGGGGAAGAGACGGAGCCTCCTTCGCGAGCTTCCCCTGGACTTGAGATTGCAGCTGGGCAGTACTCCGACTCAACGTCTGGTCTCTCATTCTTGAGTCGCGCATGGCGGCGCATCTCCAACAAAGAAAGCAGTCAGGTCGTGATAGGCTCCAACGAAGACCGCCAACTACTCATGAGTGCTGGTGACAAGCCCTTCCTGGAAAGTGGCCAACTGCAGATGCCATCCCTGGACCGTAGTCGCCAGCTTCTTCGTCTATATTTTGATGTATGTATTGCGACGTATCGGCTGCTACACAGACCAACTGTTGAAAGTTGGTTGGAAACTGTGTCTGAAAACGCCAAACTTAATCAGGCTCTCTTTCATGGTATGTACCGCCTGATTGAAGATACTTGAGTTTTACTGATGATGTCTCTCTTCGTAGGTGTCGGTCGTGCCAAGACTGCAGTGGTCTTGTCCGTACTAGCCATTGCTTCGTTTCATGAAGAAAAGGCGAGCGGCGAAAGTGGTACTTCGCCAGCAAGTCAAGCCGACGCGCAGTCGCAGAGCGATATGCTCTTCACTGAGGCGTTACGACTGACACAAGCCGAGACTGGTATCCCAAAGCTCGAGTCAGCTCAATGCAGGCTTATACAGGTCCTGTACCTTCTTATGTCATGTCGCTTCAACCAAGCGTGGTATACGTTTGGCCATGCCCTACAGATTATTTCAGCGTTGGGTTTGCATCGCAGAGACGATCGCAAACGCCAAGCGAATGCCGCCAAACGCGACTACATAGGTGAACAGTGTAGAAAGCGCACATTTTGGGTGGCTTATACGCTGGACAAATATCTCGGTGTCATATTCGGGCGGCCCAGACACTACCACGATGAAGATATCGACCAAGATTTCCCCGACGCTGTCAATGACGAAGACATGACCAGCACTGGTCCAAATACTACGAACACAGACGACTGTCACATAGAATCGCTCGTGTATCATGCGCGGCTGGCACAAATTGCTGAAAAGATATCCCGAGAGGTTTATTCCATCAAACCAGTACGTTAGCACACCACACCCTCCAGCTCAACCTACTGACTAAACCGTTCTCAGGTGCCGGATCAGGTCCGACTTGCAGCCTCTCATCGCCTCGGGGCAGAGTTGCGCCAGTGGAAAGCATCGCTACCACCCTTCCTTGGCGCCGTCAACCCTAGCAGTCTCATTCCTACGTTTCGACGGCAGGCAACCGCACTCAAACTGTCCTACTGTCATGCTGTAATTCTAGCCCATCGCCCGTTTCTCCTCAAGAATGCCAGGCGTAGCAATGTAGAGATGACTAGTCTTGCCCAAGACAGTCTCACAGAGTGCATTGCAGCGGCAAGATCAGTATTAGAAGCAGTCGATCGTATGGCCCGGGAGGGTCGACTGTTTCATGCGTTTTGGTGGACCCACTACGTCTGTTTCTGTGCTTTGGTTGTGGTCTATGTGTGGGCTATTCAACAGAGTGCCCATGCCACAGCTTCAGCTGAAGACCCCCGCGGTATTCTAGATCAAGCCGAGAGCTGTTTGCAACATCTCGCCCAGGCAACAGCGTCAAACTCGCCCTCGCGACGATACAGCATCATCCTGCAGGAACTCCGCACAGAAGCAAAGAGGAAAACAGCCATACCACATCGGGAGCCAGTACTAGCGTCATCAGCTGCGGTCAATGGCGGAATCCCACCGCCTTTGGATGGAGATGCGATACCGGAACCGGATTTGCAAAACTGGCAGCCACTTTTTGGTAGTCCGATGGACATGACCACGCCGGGGTTGCAGAACTTTCTCGATGACTGGCAGACCACTGACTGGCTTGACCTCGATGCCTCTGCTTTCGGTCCTTTTCCCGAAGTGGACGATATCTCAGCCTGGGTGAATAACGCATCGTGATGGCTTTTGTGTCCCTGGAATTCACGGGCGCGAGACGAGAAATTCACGTTGATGTATACAATACACCCAGGGTTAGCACATTGGTCAAGCAGAAGATGTGTATACCTTCAGGGTACACTTTAATATTGAGTTGACCCCAGAGTACCCGTGGTCATCGAGCTCGCGATAAAGCTCCTTCCCGACACAGAAGTCGATTCTTAAGACTTCCGCCGATATGAAACATTGGCAACTGAAGCCATAACGCCTGCTTTACAGAGTGTACCGGAATAACGGCGACTTGTCGCCCATGTTCAAGAGCTCCTCATCCGTGTACTTCGCCCGAATCTCGTCTTCGCTAAGCCTCGCCTTCTTCGTATTGCCCCACTTGTACGACAACTCCAAGAGAAATGCGACAATAAAGCCGGTCGCGCCGAACGCGAGCGACAGTCCGAAGCCAGTGTAGTACTTGGGCTTCTCGCTCTCCAGGTACATGTAACTGCCGATGACGCCACCGATGTTACCGACGCAGATGTTGAAAGCAACGCCGATAGCACGACGGGACGATGGAGCAAGGTTGTTGGCTGCCCAACTGCTTCCGGCCGGCTGAATGGGGTAGATGCCCATACACGTCAGGATGATAGCAAAGAATGCCGGGCCGATGTTGCCACCCAGATCGCCATCGAATGAGATGACTACGGCGTACCCGATGAAGATGAAGGAGAGAGGGATGGCAACGAACGGCAAACGCCAGTAAAACCTGTCCGAGAGCTTCGCAAAGAAGATGGAGCTCAAAGCACCAGCCACGTATGGTGGAACCGTCATCAGCTGGGCGTTAGTGTTGTTGAAACCCATACTCTTTGTGATGGTAGGCAAGGTGAATTTCGTCCCTACATACAGTTAGCCAGTGTCTGGTCGTATTGCAAGTTAAACATACCATATGAGCATGCCGATATGCAAAGCAGGATGTATGCTTGCATGTACAGGCGCCAGTTGCATAGCACGGCCTTCAAGTCGCTCCACTTGAAGCCCTCTTTTTGCTCCTCTCCGAATCTTCCGCCGTCTTTGATGAATCGTTGGAGTTCGAGGAAGCGGATCTCGTCGGGTTTCAACCACCGTCCACTCAACGCAGGAGAATCGATCAGGAGGAAGAAGCACGAGACACCGAGGGCGACGGTTACAATCCCCTCCAAGATGAATATCCATCTCCAGCCTTCGTAACCCCCGACACCATCCATCTTGGCGATGGCCGCAGCAAGCAGACCACTGAACGCCCCAGATAATGCCGAAGCACAGTAGAAGTACGAGATCCTCGTCGCAAGGTCCTTTGGCATGTACCAGTAAGAGCAGAGATAAATCGCGCCTGGGAAGAATCCAGCTCTGTATCTCGTCAGCACAGAAACATCGCGCTGTGGCGTAAACTTACTCGAACACTCCGAGAAGAATTCTTGTAATCAGTAAACCGACGAAGCCTTTTACGACACCCATCATGGTCATGATGATACCCCAGCAGACGATGAGTATGCCGAGGTAGTACGATGGACGCTTGAACTTCTTCAAGAGAATGTTGGATGGAACTTCAAGAAGAATGTACGGCACGAAGAACACTGATAACACGATGTTCCATTGCACGCCGTCAAGACCCAGGTCTGTGACCATGCCCTCAATCTTTGCATTGCCGATGTTCGCTCGATCGATGTGGGAGATGAGATAAAGGACTGCAAGCATCGGCACCAAGCGAATGTCGACCTACAAATGATCAGCGGGTCACTCGACGTACAGCATCGGCGGTTTGCTTACCTTGTGGATTAATCTTTTCCTTTTCTCTTCCGTGTAGTTGATGTAAAAGTCCGCATCTTCAGGTGCCAGACCCAACACTTGGAAGTTGTCGATCTTGACGATCTGATGCGGCTTGGGCGAATCGATGGAGTCTGCCTTTTCATCGATGTATTGGATTTCGTGCTTGTCCATTGATGGAGACATTGTGATGAATGGAAAAGAGGAATGAAGTATACCAGGCTGACGCGAAACCCGGGATGCAATGATTATCAGCAATGTCGGATGCCACAAGCTTTATACACATGACACTGGTCGCGGCACACCATGTTGATGGCGGTTGGATTGCGGAGAAACATGTGGCACCCCGGTTTTTCGGTTTCCTGGAGAAAGCTAGTTGCGGGGAAAGTAGTTCTTGCACCAAGCCCGATCACGACAATCATCTAATCAGCTCCCTTGCGGATGGTTTTCCGAAGCTAACGAGAATCCGGTCAAATCAAAAGCGTTTCCGCCCCTCGGATGTATGCAGGTATGCAAGTCTCCACCTAACCCCAACGTTGTGGTCGAAACCGGGGAACGCAGCTGCACAGGAAGAACCGACAGATAATAATTCGACGATTAGCATCGGTTTTGACCTCTCAAAGCACAGCCTCTCTTTCATATCACTTCGAGCAAGCCTTTGTTACAAGCCACAATCACTATGGCACCAGCGCAGATAGCTATCCCTGCGCCACTACGGCCGTCAACACCACCATCCACATTCAGACGTGCGCGAGATGACCTCCTTCAACCGGACGAATCCTCAATAAAGACAGTCGATGCGCTCGTCCGGCATCGCGCGCGTCGTGATCCTCATGTCACCATCGTATCGTATCCGAGCTCTGGTGTTGACTTCGTGGATTATACCATGCAGCAGCTGGACGTCTTCGCGTACAGAGTAGCTCGACACTATCAGACCTTCATCCCTACAAGATCGGGTTCTGCGGAAACGCCAACCACAGTAGCCGTGCTCGGACCAAGTAATATGGACTACATTGTCTCGATGCTTGCGCTTACCAAACTGGGCCATACGGTACTTTTCCTTTCAACGCGTATATCTCAAGCAGCTGTCGACTCTCTCATCACCACCACCGGAGCCACCTATTTGCTGGCAGATTCACGATATGCGCGATCTGCAATCGACGCTCAGAGAGCCATACCAGGGTTGCAGATCGGCGAAATTGCCAGGCCTGACACTTACAACTTTCCTGTTGAAGTTCATGCAGACACCCGCCTTGACTACCAACTCGACCATACAGTCGAAGCCTCGAACAACATCTACATTATACACTCCAGTGGTATGTTCTATCCAACAGTCTGTTGATGTTTGAGCTAACGTGAGGAAAGGCTCTACCGGACTGCCGAAGCCAATATACCAGCCACAGAGAAGTGCAATCGCCAATTATGCCATCAGTATGGACATGAAAGCATTCATTACCCTTCCGCTGTATCACAATCACGGCATTTGCAACTTCTTCCGCGCGATATACAGTGGCAAATCCATCCATATCTACAACGCCGACCTGCCCTTGACCCAATCTTATTTGGCTACGATATTGAGGCAGCATAGATTTGAGGTCTTCTATGGTGTGCCTTATGCGCTCAAGCTTCTCTCTGAGACGGATGAGGGAATCGAGCTATTGAAGCAACTCAAGATCGTCATGTACGGAGGGAGTGCCTGCCCAGACGCGCTGGGCGACCTATTGGTGAACAGCGGCGTCAATCTTGTCGGCCACTATGGGGCGTAAGTTTCATGTGATCACTTACAGCAAAGCCAAGCTTACGATGAGCAGCACTGAAGTAGGCCAACTCATGACATCCTTCCGACCTGCCGACGACAAGGTATGGAACTACGTTCGCGAGTCGCCGAAACTATCGCCGTATCTTCGATGGGTATCGCGCGGACCCAATCTCTACGAATGCACGGTTCTGCCGGGTTGGCCAGCGAAAGTCGCCTCGAACCTACCAGATGGCAGTTACGCCACGAAAGACCTGTTCGAACCACACCCTACGATTGAGAAGGCATGGAAATACATTGCGCGTCTCGATGATACAATCGTATTGGTGAATGGCGAAAAGTTCAACCCAGTCATGATGGAAGGAACGATCCGGTCCCATCGAGCTGTAACCGAGACGGTTGTCTTTGGTTCAGGTCGACCATACCTTGGCGTTCTTGTGGTCCCAGCAATCGAGGGCATGCCGAAGTCGAAAGTCGTGGATGAGATCTGGCCTGTTATTGAGGCTGCGAATCAGACGGCCGAAGCGTACGCCAGGATTTCCAGGGACATGGTTCAGATCCTACCTTACGGTTGTCAATTTCCGCGTACCGACAAAGGCAGTGTGATAAGACAACAGTTTTACAAGCAATATGCCAATGAGATCGACAACGCATACGATACCGCTGCATCAGCTCAAGGAGATCTTAAAACATTGAATGTTCCGGAACTTGAGGACTTCTTACGTACTGTCCTGGCCAAACAGTTGACGCAGGCAGGGGAAATCGGACGTACCACAGATTTCTTCTCGCTAGGCCTGGACTCGCTGCAATCGATCCAAATCCGGACGGAGATTCTCAAGAACGTCAATATCGGTGACAAGAAGCTCGGCCAGAATGTGGTATTTGATCACCCTTCTATTGCATCTCTCGCCGCACATCTCGACAGTCTTCGCACCGGGCAAGAGGAACAAGTTGTGTCGGTCACTGCGCAAATGCAAGACCTTATTGCTCAATACAGCAACTTCGAGCCCATTGCTAGACGTCAAGCTGCGCTTACTGGCGCGACCGGTTCGCTTGGTGCTCATGTTCTTGTACAACTACTCCACCGCTCGGATATTGACATAGTTTACTGTCTTGTACGAGCGAAAGACTACAAGACAGCAGCTCGCCGGGTTCGAGAGTCTCTCATACAGCGAAAGCTATACCACACCCTTTCGCTCTCGGGACGCAGGAAAATACAAGCCATACCTTCTGACTTGTCCGAGCCCCATCTCGGCTTAGACGATGCGACTTATGCGCGTGTTGCTTCAGGTCTTACCAGTGTTATTCACTGCGCATGGAGCGTCAACTTTAACAAGAACCTAATGTCATTTGAAAAGGACTGCATTGCTGGCGTGCGTCACCTGATTGACCTCTGCCTCACTTCATCATCGACCAAGCCTGCATCCTTCGACTTTTGTTCTTCGGTCAGTACCGTCGCACGATGCCCCGATACGCGCACGCCTGAGCGATTAGCCGAGCTTGACTGGGCTCAGGGCATGGGATACACCCAGAGCAAATGTGTTGCCGAACACTTGTGCTTGGCTGCAGCGAAGGAGACTGGTGTCAAAGCGCGAGTCCTGCGCGTCGGTCAGATCGTCGCGGACACTGTCCATGGCGTGTGGAACTCAACTGAAGCAATACCTCTCATGATGCAGTCCGCTCTTACTGTCGGTGCGCTACCTCGACTGCAAGAATCCCTAAGCTGGACACCAGTCGATGTTATTGCGAAAGCCGTGACGGAGATCTCGCTCAGCGACGCTGGATCCATAGTGGCAAATGTCACCAACGCAAAGACCTTCTCTTGGACCGACGATCTACTTCCAGCCCTTCGAGAAGCCGGCCTCCAATTTGATGAAGTTGAGCCCAAGGAGTGGGTGCGCAGGCTTCGCGAGTCCAACCAGGATGCGGTAGCGAACCCACCCATCAAGCTTGCTGACTTCTTCGCATCCAAGTACGACAAGGACGCTTTCGGTCCTTCGCGTACATATGATACCACTGTCGCCAGAGCTTTCTCGCCTTCTCTTGAGACAGCGCCTGTATTGGATGCAGCCTTTGTGAAGACATTTGTCAGACAATTCCAAAGTGCTGCCTGGCAGATACGTACTACTTCGGTTGCGAAGCCGATGAGACGCGTTGTCGTTGTAGTTGCCGGGCCTTGTGGTAGCGGGAAAAGCACTGTCGCACGACGCCTCGGCGCTCACTTCAAAGCACCTTGTATCGAGGGCGACGAACTACACACCGAAGAAGCCATTGTATCGATGGCTGCCGGTACACCCCTCAATGACGTCGCTCGCGCCCCTTGGCTTGCGCGCGTTAGACAGCGAGCGCTCGATACAGTGACCAAGGAAGATCAGGGGCGCGTATTCGTCTCCTGTTCGGCTTTGAAGAAGTCATACCGGGATCAGTTCCGGGTTTTGATGGATGAAAAGATACAGGTTGTGTTTGTGGACTTGCAAGTCGAGCCGGAAGAGCTTGTGCGTCGAACGAAGGGAAGAGGTGGTCATTACATGAAAGAGAATATGGTGGAGAGTCAAATGGCCATCTGGGAGACGGCTGATATATCTGAGACGGATGTGATACCTGTAGATGCTGGACAGTGTGTTGAGGAGGTCGTAGAGGAGATCTCCGGGTTATTGGAGGCGCACGATGTCATGTAAAGCGCACGCCTCGGGGGCTGTATTATCTTCCAGTCCATACACGCAAATATTTAAAATCGAGTGGACCAAATCCTCAGTTGTTCCCATATTGCGATGCTGTAGACTTCACCGCACGTGAGCAAATGCAAGCGAGCGAGCGATTTCAACGACGAATACATAGTCATCCAGAAATGGACGAAGTATGACGTGCCGCCTGTACTAATTTCTTTCTTTTATAGACGCAAGCCAAGGCAATGAAAGCCCTCTAAGAGCAGACCCGTGCGAGCTCTACCACTGCGGCACCCTCTACCCTTGAAAGCGACAGTTCGCAGCCGCTCATCCACAGAACGCACAACCCCAAGGTGGAAAAGTATAACGAAAATATGACCGGGCGCGGCAAAAGTGAGGGGGAGTCCCTACAAAACAGTCGAGACCGTCCTAACTTTGTCCAAGATCCATGGCGTACGGAACCTCGATGTCCTACGATACCGGATGACCACCGCCCACATCCCCATTCAGATTCATTCTTTGGTAGTCCTCAAATCACATCGGGACCAGCGTATGCGGGGTATGGGCAAGCTCCTCAGCCCGATGACTACGGCGCAACGCCTTTCCCTACAACGCAGCCATATACGCAAGATTCTAGAGCTTTCTTCCACCCGCAGCCAAGTTTAGGAGGTCAATTCGAAGACCAAATCAGGTCTCGAAAGCCGAATCGACCTAAGAACTTGTCGAAGTCGCCAGGTCTGGTGCCGACTACAGTCGAATTACCTCAAGAGTCAAGTATACGGTAAGTGACAATTTGAGAGCATTTGCCCGGAAGGCATAATGACGACGCAGTAGTCCAATGTCAGGTATATCGACAGAAGAGACGCCAGAGCCTCGAGGCGAGTTCCCTAGTACACCTGCGTCGAATCAATTTACCACGTTGGAGGAAGAATACGCGACTCTATATCACCAGCGTAATGAAATTGGTATAAGGATGGAGGAGATAAAGAGAAGCTTTACTGCGGAGGAGTACACTGCTTTGATGGCAAAGCTGGATCCGCAGAAACTTCCGACGCTCAAACCGTGGTCTAGTACTACGGATGGTTGAGCGAACGGTGTAGAATTCAGTCTGAAGAAAGTACAAGGTCGTTCCAACAGCAGCTTTTGATGGACTCGGTCTCTCAAAGAATTCATACTCGATGTCGTACTCGATCCGTATCGATGTGAACGAACGCTGCTCTCGACATCTAGGGAGCGCCCATCTCTGCGCGTGTGTGTTTGAGATATTCTACTATTCGTTATATACAGTCAGAATTGATCGCAGCACTCCGGTTGAGACTGCTGAAGCTCTTGTATCGCTGCTTCGATTGATACTTGGATGGCGTGCCCTGATTACGACGAGGATACAAGCCGTCCCTGAGACCCCTAATCGCTACAAGCGAGATGGTCCAAGCTCAATCCCGCGGCGGCGTGGTGGGTGGAGCTCCGAGCATCAACACGCCGAAGCCAGCCAATTCCCTGCCGACAACCGCTGTCCCCTTCCACGTCGCTGCCATGCTCTCTGGAATTCTCATCTTCAACCAGAAGGGTGAGAACCTCATCTTTCGCGCCTTCCGCAACGACTGCCGCCCGCGACTTGCCGATGTCTTCCGCATTCAGGTCATCTCCAACGCCCAAGTACGCTCGCCCATCCTCACCCTTGGCTCCACCACCTTTAGCCATGTCAAACACGAGAACATATACCTGGTCGCCGTGACTAAGAGCAATGCCAATGCGGCGCTCGTCTTTGAGTTTCTGTACCGCTTGGTGGGATTGGGAAAGGCTTACTTCGGCAAGTTCGACGAGGAGGCCGTCAAGAACAACTTCGTACTGGTCTATGAGCTACTGGACGAGATTCTGGATTTTGGATACCCACAGAATACAGAGACAGACACGTTGAAGATGTACATTACAACTGAAGGTGTCAAGTCGGAAAGGGCAATGGTAGGTCACATCGAGCGCGACCAGAGCAACAACAGCTGACAAAATCACAGGAGGACTCCTCGAAGATCACAATGCAAGCAACCGGTGCCCTTTCCTGGCGGCGGGCCGATATCAAGTACCGCAAGAACGAAGCCTTCGTCGATGTCATCGAGGACGTCAACCTGCTCATGTCCGCGACGGGAACAGTATTACGAGCCGACGTGAACGGACAGATCATAATGCGCGCATATCTTTCGGGCACACCCGAGTGCAAGTTCGGTCTCAACGACCGACTAACGTTGGGCGAAGATCATCTACAACAACCGTCTGGAAACAAGGCAGGCGCGAAGGCTACAAGGGCAGCAGCGGGAAGTGTGACGTTGGAGGATTGTCAATTCCACCAATGCGTGAAGCTGGGCAAGTTCGATGCGGACAGGATAATATCCTTTGTTCCGCCCGACGGCGAGTTCGAGCTGATGCGCTACCGAGCGACTGAGAACGTCAACCTGCCTTTCAAGGTGCATGCCATTGTCAACGAGGTTGGCAAAACCAAGGTCGAATACAGCATCGCCATTCGCGCCAACTATGGCTCCAAGCTTTTCGCGACAAATGTTGTCGTGCGGATACCAACACCCCTCAACACGGCGCGCATCACCGAGCGGACATCACAAGGCAAAGCCAAGTACGAGCCGGAGCACAACAACATCGTCTGGAAGATACCGAGGTTCACGGGGCAAAGCGAGTTCGTCTTAAGCGCTGAGGCCAGCTTAACCAGCATGACCAACCAGAAGGCGTGGTCCCGACCACCGCTCAATCTGAGCTTCTCATTGTTGATGTTCACCAGTTCGGGGCTACTTGTGCGATACCTGAAGGTGTTTGAGAAGAGCAACTACAGCAGTGTAAAGTGGGTGCGCTACATGACGAGAGCGGGTAATTATGAAATAAGGTATGTTTCTCCTGCTCCACGACTCGATCACACCCATCTCACGTATATCTACCAGGTTTTGAGCATTGTTATTCTGTACATTAGCCTGGATTTACACAGGTATTATTGCATTGCAGGCGTCATTGAGCCACTAAAGATATCCTTGAGCACAATGAAAGTAAAACATCAGCTTTTTGAGTATTGTTCCATCCGTGACCAGAAGCTCAGGCTGATCGTTAAACGGACCAGCCACGGTTCTCTAAGCTTTGATAACCTTTCTACCGTCTTCACTTCCGACACCACGCGCGCGCGAGTCTATGTCGAAGTGCAAACTCTCGACTTGGAGTCTTTAAACCCCATACTAAGTGGTCATAATGGTGAACTTCCTCAGAAGCATTGAAAAGGCCATATTGAACTGTCCATTTGACGCGGCTTCTACTCCGGGTCTCATTCGGGCTAGCGCAGGCCGACTGGTCCTTCCACATAGTCGTGCCTGCAACCTCGAGGTGCGTCGCATCGCAGCGTCCCCTTTTCTCTCATCTCCACTTTCGAAGCCGCATGAACACACAGCGCGCCTTCTGCTGGCACTAGGCATTGACGCATTTGGAGAAGTCGCGTGTATGATGACACCGCCAGTAACACGTCCCCCCGCATGCACGACTGGTGCTGCGACGCGCAGCATATGCACCAAAAAATGGGCCTCATCTTCCTGTGGTCCCGCTTCCGCTATGGGAAAGCGATGGACGCTCGTCAAATCATCTCGCTACGTTTGCGCACTTCATGCTGCTTCAAATCCGAAGAAGGGGCTCGACTCTCTTGCTAGATCCGCGTACAGATCTGTGAGGGGCAGAGGCCTAAACAAACAACATTTCGAGTCTTTCATTCAGAAATACCAATCGGTAGTATCTCGGTGCCGCTATCCAATAATGCACCCCAGTCTCGTCAATCAAGCAGTTCGTACTGATTGATGCGATACTCGAACAAGAGGGTACATGAAGTTATCAGCATCTCTGATCTCACCAGCATACGATCAGGAATCACGAAGCTAACAGTAAATTGCGTAGCGGTACAGGTCAGAAAATGCGAACCTATCTATATTATGTAGCAGGCCGGACGACGATGCAGCTTGCAAGGATTGTTGCCGTATCATAACGCTTGATGTGTCGACCCCTCATGCTGTGCCGCAGCCACAATCTCAACCGCTGATCAGCTGTCATGTGAGTAGCAAGAGTACATCTATCATTCCGGTGGGACATTCCTGGCAGTCACCGGCACATTCACAGAACAACTCCATTGTTCTTCCGATCTCTGAACAAGCTTTTACTGTCGCTTCTCCATGGAGGGTGTGGCTGCCTTCTCGTTGGCATGTAATGTTATACAAATTGCCGAACTCTCTCGAAAGATCATCGCAACCGCAAAGGAGATCCAAACTTCTCGTAACGGCTTACCGAAAGACCACGAAGATCTACATAGAGCCGTGGAGATCCTACGTCGAGATGTTGCGGACCTGCAGCAGAATCACAACGGCGACATTATCCAGAGTCTCGCTGTTCAAAGCGAGGTCGCTATAAACGAGCACATAGCTCTCTTGGATTCGCTTCGACTGAAGGGTCCCCGTACCTTCCTTCATGCCTCGGCTGCAGCATTCAAAGCACGGCGCAAGCAGCGCCAGCTGTACGAGTCTCAGGCAAAAGTTGACCGACTATCAGAAGAGCTTAAGGCGCACATTGTCATGACCCGCATCCCGAACATAGATCGCAATGTTGTCCACCTTGGCGATAAGATAGCGTCACACAACTTCTCCATCGACCATGACATGAAGATCATCGAGCAGCACCTGAGCAGGGTTCGCAAAGTAACTGAAAATAACTCGAACACCGCGAACGCTACAGCAGAGCTCGTGGTAGAGTTACAAAGATGGCTCAAAGATCAACAAGATTCCCAGGCGAATAGGCAGTGTCTACACGCACTCTATTTCTCAGAACTCAGGAGTAGAGCCGATCAAGTAAAGCGAGCGCATGAAGACACGTTTGGTTGGATCTTCGATGGGGCTGGAGACCTGTTTGGATCTGTTCACAGAAATAAGTTTAAGAACTGGTTACGGCTGGACGATCCTAACAGAAACGTGTTCTGGGTGTACGGAAAACCTGGTGCGGGGAAAAGCACTTTGATTAAGGTAAGTTCTTGAATATATCGAATGTCCGGTTCGTACACTAACTTCATATCCTCGCATCGGTCAGTTCATTACTACTCACCCGGATCTGAGATTGCATTGTCAATCCTGGCTGGGATCACGCTCATTGCTCGTCATCGACTGTTACCTCTGGAGACAAGGAACGATTCTGCAACGGTCACTCAGGGGATTGTTGCAGTCAATACTCTACCAGGCTCTTAAGGAATGCCCTCAGCTTATCCCGAAAGCTTTTCCACGACGCGAATGGACGCACGCCGGGACAGATTTTCAATTTCCACAGGACGTTTTGTGGAATGGCTTCCAGGATCTTTTGAACTTGGCGCCGAGCTTCAACATATTTATGTTGTTCATCATCGATGGCCTCGACGAGTTTGACGACCGTGCAGAGATACGTAAAAATTCGGCGCCGGATGTACAAGACTTACTACGGCTGCTTCGCGCTATACAGGCAAGTCCTTCAGCAAAGCTTTGCGTGACTAGTCGACCCCTAAATGAGTTTGAGATACATTTGGGGAAGGATGGAGACTTCTGCATACCCATACACGACTTGACCTCAAGGGACATCAAAGCATACACCGAAGATACGCTGAGGAAACACCCTGCGTTTGCGCAACTCGTATCACAGGATCCTGGCTATGCAACCCTCATCACAAGTATCACCTCCGCTGCGGAAGGAGTCTTCCTTTGGGTCTACCTCGCATGCAATTCTTTGCTCAACGGGTTAACTAACGCGGACCGTGTTTCTGACCTCCAAGGGCGACTGATGCGTCTTCCCCACGAACTGGATGAAATGTACATGCACATACTGTCAACTATTGAGCCTGAGTATCGCAGAAACACCGCTCGCTCACTCTTACTATGTACAATGCCCGAACAGGAGACACTTCTTACACACCATTACTTGGACGATGAAAGTCGCAAACAGATATTAGATGCCCCGAGCCTTCAACAGTTCATGAACGGTGAAGACGTGGTATTATTCGCGGCCACAGTTCGTAGAAGATTCAACGCGCGCACTAGAGGGCTGTTAGAATTCAGAGCCTCCCGACGGGGCTATCAGATCGATGAGTTTCGTGGAGTCCAGCACGAGATATCAGAGCTGGGCCTCGAATGTGTCGGACTAGCACACAGATCTATGGCAGAACTTCTTGACAGAAATGATATGAAACACCAGATCATGGCCGAAGCCGGTATGGCATTCGAAATGCCTGAGCTTTATGCCCAAGCATCGATGGCCGCTCTCAAGGCAGAGGCATCTATCGCATGGACGCTTGGTTCGACTCAGGATAGTGGGTATCACTTCGGGAAGAAAGATCCAAATGATGTGGAAAAAAATCTCTGCACTTTACTGTACAATTTAGTGCGAATTATGGAACAGACAGAGGAAGAGCAGATGAAAGCACACTGGTCCAAACTTGACGATTTACTCAATTTCCCATTCACACAGGAGATGAAGCTCAAGGATATCATCATGGGCATTGTCTCTAAAGAGTTCTATCCTAACACTTTCGCCGTGGGTCTCGCCTTTTGCGCACCCAAATATGTGTCGCTTATGTTGCGACATGATCCAACTCTGATCACGACCAGATCGAAAGCTTGGCCACCTCTGCTAGTGTCTCTACTATAGAACTTCTCGACGAAGTCGTGGTCAGTTCGTCGACATTACGACATAATAAAGATACTGCTCGAGCATAGCGCCGATCCAAATGAACCCTTTCAAGGCACCACCCCATGGATGTGCTACTTAGAAAACGTGCTGTATTATTCTCTGTCAAACCCCGGCTCTTCAAGGTTACCTATATTATATCTACTCGTTCAGTATAGAGCCAACATACATATCACTTAGGATTAGCTTGGATGTCCTCTTAAGGAGCGCACTTAGAAGGATAAATGTGTCATTCCTTCGTTCACAGTCGCCGGAACAGGCTATCAACAGAAAATCCCAGATGCTGTAACAGCATCTTTTCAACTCAGCGCTGCTGCGGTTTTATACCATGTACTAACAGGAGACGGGAGTTCAGCAAAGAAAACGAACGTGCCCGTACCAGTACCAGGGTAGTTACCATCAGTACCCGAGCAAGAACAGGTTGAAGTAGTATTGAAAGGACAAGACATTTACAACTTTTTAGGCCGTTAGAAGAGGGTGGTAATAGAGGGCTCTTAATAGCATAACGCATGATTTCGAATAGCAGAAACCAAGACTAGCTTCGCTCTTAAATAAACTTCAGTGAGGATAAGGAGACAATGTTTGGCGTAACAACTAGGTTACTAATAGTCCAACTTTTCGAATGTAGTTATAGCCTTCTCAATACATGTACAGACTGTAAAAGCTTTCATGGTGCATCACAGGTTGTAGCAGATGCAGTACGATATAAAGATACTACCGAGCGTTAAGTCGGTATGCGTGTGCATGCTATACGCTATACGATAAGTATCAAATTTCACAGTCTTCACAGCACCTTCGCCTACGAGAGCTAGGGAGTGGAATCTAAAGCTTTAGTTCTAGGATCTTGCCGCGTCGATACGTGGCTGTAGCATGTGGACTATAGAGCACGGTGATGACAGGTTAACCGGGTAATGACTCAATAACCCAACGATGTATGTATTAGTACACCAAAAAAATGGACATGACGGTCTTTAAAGCCGCTACATCGTTGTTAGTAGCTTGCGTGGCTTCACGGCATGGTTGCAGGGTTACGCTGACAAATTTCTTTCATGACCTGCCTAGTTTCAATACAGCACGCCCTTTGTACTCCTGACCTCGCCCTCCCACTGCTTCACCACAGTGGTTGCGTGCCTGATAGCAACTGCAAGCGCCTTAAAGGCACTCTCTGCCCTGTGGTGATCGTTGTCACCGCGTATGCAGTCAACGTGGAGGGTGGTGCCCGACGCCTGCGCAAAGCTTTGGAGGCAGTGCGGGATCATCTCGCAGCTCAGATCGCCAATCTTCTCCCGCTTAAGACCCAGCTCAATGATGCTGTATGGCCTGTTCGACAGGTCGATGACAGCGCGTGACAGTGCCTCGTCGAGCGGTGCGTATGCGTGTCCGAAGCGTGCCAGACCCGTGCTTCCCTGCAGCGCATTCTTGAAGGCGGTGCCTAGCGCCAAGAAGGTGTCTTCGCTCGTGTGGTGGTCGTCAATGTGCAGGTCGCCCTTGCACCGTATGCGCAGACTCCAGCCAGCGTGCTTGGCCATGGCGTGGATCATGTGGTCGAGGAAGCCGATGCCGGTGTCGACGGAGATCTCCTGGGATGTCGACTTCTGGGTAGCGTGGTCCTTGTCTACCTTCTCGCCATCGCCGTTGAGACTTTTCTTGTCGTAGGCCGCCCAGAAGTCGCTGTGCTCGTAGGGTGAGAGGTCGCCGCCATCGATGTTTATCGAGACCTGGATCTTCGTCTCGTTCGTATCGCGGTTGAGGCAGCAGGCGCGCGGCATTGTGGCGATCGTGTTCGTAAGATTGATTTCGGCTGGCTTCGGGGGTGTTGGTAGCTTGTAGAGCGGTCAATGATGGATGGCAAAGTCGAGGGACAAAAAGTTGAAGCGGATGCAGAGGGGCTTCCCCACGCCCCACGTCATGGCGCCAAGCAATATAGGGCTGGAAAAGTCTGGCCAACCAACGAATCGCCGAACCAAAGTCCGCCCCAAAATTTTGATATCGCGAAGTCACGTCTCGAACACAGGATCGTCATTCAGACACAGTCATATAAACGCGTTATCTCTCAACCGACATCGGCTAGTCATTAAGAGCAAGGAACAAGATCAAAATGCCAGGCGCAACAGAAGAACCCACGCAGGTCCCAATCTTGGATCCTACCTCCGAGAACAACGAGGAGATTGATCCGGCGATCGATCGCGACAGGATCAGAGTTGTACGTACGGTCTGAGTGATATAGAGAAACGCGTATCTAATTTGTCTTAGCTGTCCGGTGCGACGGAGACGGCAGCATCTTTCCAGTTTGATGGCGAGGACCACACGCTAGGCAACGCGCTGCGATACATCATCCATAAGAAGTAAGCCAAACCTCTCAGCGCATAGATGAATAAATCGCTAATGGTTTCATAGCCCTGATGTCGAATTTTGTGGTTACTCCATTCCGCATCCCTCGGAAGCCAAGATGAACTTGCGCATCCAGACATACGGTAGGTCATACACGCGCTGCTAGATTGATCTCACAACTAACACTTCACTAGATGGTGTAAGTGTATACACCGTGCTGGAAAAGGGCCTTGAAGATCTCATGGCCATGTGCGATGTTGTCGAGCAGAAGTTCACAATTGCACGCGATGACTTTGTGAACAAGATGGAAGAGTAGGGCCGTAACACGCCTATAGTTACGAAAGTATTGCATTGCTGGCGTTCAAGGATAGCATGGTCAACTGGCGAAAGGAAAGGAAAATGGTATTGTCTTCAGCTATATACACCGAATTTTGTTCTTGGTTGTCCCCGGACTTTGGTGGTAATGGACAAATCAGTTGCGACCCTATACATGCGCATTAGCATATGATTCCGCGAGAGTAATAACGCAAAGAGTGAGCGTACCTCCAAGAAGCCGTTGATGAAGTTGCTTGGTAGCCGGGCCTTGGGATCCTCTTCCGCGCGGAAGTATTTGAGAACGTGTGACAATTGTTTCCAGAAGTTGAGTGTTTCCTGTACGATTATCAGTACCTTCCCTACTATCAAATCGTGTTGGTCCGTGGTGTACCTGGAACTCCTGATGACTGTTGAACAACAGCACATCTACTGTTTTGAGTTGATTCACGTATCGATGCCGCTCGAATTCCTGCCGCATTTTCGTCCGAAGCGTGGATACGGGCATGTTCAGCGAGTACATGGTCTGGATTTCGGGAGCCTGTAAAGTCATTGTCAGTCCAGGTTCCATGTCCTGCTGCCCGCTTCTCCGCATCCCACGCTTTCCCTCCCTCATTCCAGCTCTCTCCGTATACATGCTGTATCCAGACCCCAAATTCCTTTCAAAAGACTTGTAATCTCCGGGAGTCAACGTACCGATCGGAGCCAGTCCCGGTAGCTGTGAATGACCCTCTTCTTCGCATCAGTCCAGTTGACCGCTGTGCCCGCATTAGCCTTTCCATTCTCCCAATGTTCCGTGGGCGTGTTCGACTAACAGGAGCGCGTGCGCTGAGCGAGGTAGGTGGGGTTGATGACCATGTTGGCGGTGTTGGAGAGCTTCCAGTCGTCTCGAAGCCGGAGCTGGAGTGACGATGCGGCTCGCGGGAGTGGAATGCCAAGGCCTGGCGTTAGCGCGGATTTTACTCCCGGCGCAGTCGCGAAGTTATCGAAGGCTTCTCTCTCGAAAACACGAATACCGTCAACGTCTTTGCAGCATACTCCAAGCTCGACCGCATCTGTCGCCATAATCGATATTTCACCTCGCGCCAAATTCGCAGATTTCGGCTTGCTATAACCAGCCCAACCATGCCTCCAGTCCGTACCGCACGCGCTTCGCGCAAGGCCCCGCCGGAGGGCTTCGATGACATCGAGGACACCCTGCTGGAATTTCAGAACAAGATGAAGGACGCCGAGAACGCATCGCACGAGGGCAAGAAGAAGTACGAAATGACGTGGCCCATCTTCCAGATCACCCACCAACGCTCGCGCTACATCTATGACCTATACTACGAGAAGGAGGCCATCAGCAAGCAGCTCTACGACTATTTGCTTAAGAACGGCTATGCAGATGCCATGTTGATCGCCAAGTGGAAGAAGCAAGGCTATGAGAAGGTAAGTCCATTCTATATAGGTAAACTCCCTGCTTGAATCAAACTAATTTGTGAGTAGCTATGCTGCACGCGCTGCATCCAGACCAAGGAGACAAACTTCCGCTCGACCTGCATTTGCCGTGTCCCCAGGGATCAGCTCAAGGAGAACCAGGAGATTCAATGCGTGAACTGCGGCTGCAGAGGGTGCGCCTCCAGCGACTGAGCAGTATGACGAGGGGAAACTGCGAGGACAGACCCATACTCTGATTAATAGCGATAGACGCTGTCTACATTCTACGAATACTGCCAGGGAGGATACAAAGAAGCGCAATCAAGCGCACACGACAGAACCAGGCGCAGTCAGCAGGTAGACTGCTACAAGATACTGAAGTTGGCTGCTCATACCGAATGGGCCGCCAAGATGAGTTTAAGAACACGGTCACAACAAAAGCATAGGGTGTGTCTATTGACCAGAACATAATAATTCAAATGTTAACTTGTATACAGAGAAAAGTGAGTGAATGATGGTGTCCCCAACCTGGACGCCTGCAACCTGTGGGTATACTTGAACCATTACGCAAGTCGTCCAGTCGTAAGGGAAGACCCAGTCTATGTTTGATATCCGCCTGCCCGCAACCCATTAACCAAAACGCCTCTCCAGCAACTCAGAAGGCCGAGCTTGCGTCGCTCATCCGCTTGTAATTGGAATTGGTACTACGTTGTGAAGATCTCCGGCTCATATCCCGACCAAATCGCGATTCCGGTAGGGAATCCAAAATGCCCTGCCGCCGAACCCAAGCTGTGGGTGGTGGAGAAGGCCATAGTTCTGATATCTCGGATCCCAAACTCCTCCTGGCCAATTCGCTATGTGTTAGTCGGAATGGGCTAGCCCCATCAATTGGCGAGTCTCGACCGGAGCGACCCTTCTCCGATATGCTGCGCGCGGGTGTCTTTGGTGCCGCGCCATCGTCCTCTTGGTCTTGATTCACCATTCGGATGTACTCTCTGCTTTGACCGAGAACCTGGGCTTCTCTGTGCCGGCCGTCAGAGACATGAGTGCTGAATGCGGACATGTTGAAAATCTTGCTTCCTCTTCGGGTGCTGTCTAATGACGGCAAACGTATCATGTAGTCTTTCTCTGGGGCCGGAGGAGGTGTTTGCAGAGTTTGCCTCGCTTTCCGCGCTTTTCGTCTGCGCCACCAGAATGCGGTGAAGATACATACCGCACAAAAGGCGATCATGACGGGTATCATTCCAAGGCCAATTTTTGTCCCGAGAGTCATTCCTGGTCCCCCTCGTGCTATTGAGTGTGCAGACGGTGTTTCGTTTTTCATGGCCGATGGGACCGCTGGCGGCGGCGGCGGCAGTGGTGGTGTCGACGAGTCTACGACGAGTGCTCTTGGTAACGATGCTGACTGCGCTGAAGGGCGCGTGGGCCTTGTGCTTGGAGTGTTGGGTTCGAGATTTGACATTACTGGACTTGCTGTATTTGCGCGTGCCCATACATGGGGTATATTAATGATAGGACTCATGTTGGGTGTCGATGTGTGTTGGATAAAACGAAGTAAAGAAATGTTTCTAGGTGTGGTAAAGAACGAAGGTAGAAGAAATGGCCATGCTATGTCCAATATCTTTTTTTAGTGAGTGAATTAGTGATGCCGACGAGGTGTCTCTATCATCGCATGTCGAACGCAAACCTGAAACCAAGCAGATAAAGGTGCCTTTGTAGAATACAATGGAAGCACGGTCAAGCACCGCCTACCGTGCTTTCGAAGACAATCACCACACTGACCACGGGATGATTATCGATTTTGCGCGTTCCGCTTGGTCCCCCGGTGGTCTATGATGAGACGCAATTTATCCCGACCATAGTCGTGCGGCACTGAATTCGCATGCAACTGCTACATGGTGAAGCCAATGACTGCTGCGTCGTTCCTTACTGTGCCGGTAAGTATACAAGAGGGGTTCACACCTGCATTTTCCAGCTCTTGGTACAGACAAAATCAATCCGTCCATACGATAACACTTGCATTCGCATGAACATGACAAGTATTTCTTTTGCGCGCATAGATTCTCGTGAAGTACCGACTCCCCTCAGCACATGCGAACGTCTAAACCCAAACGAACAAATGCCATCATCCCGTTCATCTCTCATTTGCTCAGACAAACGCAAAGATGAGATCAACACGACTAACACGCTGATTGATATCAAATTGCCACATACTCGAAGAAGTCGGAAGATCTAACAGTTCAACACCGATGGTTGGGATCTTGGAATGGCTAGCGTAATGCACTTGCGCTGTTTCTAGCGCTTTTTGTTCGTCCTTCCAGCCAACCTAGGTACCTCTCATAAGGCTACTGAGCATGGCTTCTCAAACGCCCATATATACTCGACAGTCTTTTGTTCGTCGTTCTTACATCCGAACAGCCGGAGAACATCTCCTCATGGTGTTTTTTTGCTGGCTGAAACACAACACAGAGATGATCCCCGAGCTTTCCCCACGTTTCTCGCCGCACCTGCGTGCACGAAGATAGAGAGCTGATATATATGCGCCCACACAGCGTGGAAAATGCCAGTCTTTTGGGGAGACGGAGCCGATGGCCCATCACTCGCTTTCAAAGCCAATCTGCGCGATAGCGAGATGTTGCTCTAGCAGACTACTCACGGCTAGTGTTCCTCCCTTCGGCCGCCCTTGTAGTAATCGCACCCTTGGGTCCTCTCTTTCATATTGCGGAACCATGAGTTCTAGACGCCATTAAGAATTGCTGCTCATCGAAGGTGGAGTCTGGAATGCTATAAGCAAGCATACTTTCGACCGGTCACACAGGTTCTAAACGCAAGGAGCATCCCACAGCGGTGACATGATGAATCGTCGCACTGTCGCAGAAAATCAGCTTTCGCGATATTGTGTTCACGGCGCAAATCAGAAGTGACGAGTATCATGTGCAGCAACGTTCAGGTTATGTACTCTTATGAGTATCGCTCTAAGATTCGTCTTACTGTACCCTTGGGAAAGCTACCTACCTAGATAAAACCCGCCGAAGTCAAATGCCATGATTGCTTTCAGTATTTCCATCCTCTATATTATCTTTCACGGACTTGTGGTATCGATGGGCAAGGCTGCTAGGGCAGACTATCTTGAGACGCGATGAGTAGCCGGGACAGACACATGCTGTTTCAACGGAACATGACGACTTGTCGATTTCGGTGAACGATCACCTCGGTACCTAGGTAGTGACGCAATGTTGGCGAAACAGCCGCTTTCTGGCCAAGACATCACATCCGATGTTAGTAGCTATTTTGGAAAGATCAAACATAGCGGAACCTTGTCAAGATGTAGTTTACGCTACGCCACACATGCTGATACGCACGAGTGAGTGCTCACATATTAGGTTCTCAGCAAGCGATGCCTTGCCAACGCTGATGGCCACAGCCTGCAAAGAGTGGGTGGTACTGGGGCTCTCCCCATTCGTCATCCTCAATTTTAAGGGAGCAAGGCTGCCGCAACAAGACCGAAGCCGAGAGTGAGGCCAAGATGCCATGTCAAACAACTGGGGTCCGCTTGTTTCACAAGGCGCGTTCCAAGACTACCAACATTGGTATCGAACAAAGAGTGTACCGCCCGAGCGCATGGCTGGCATATAACAAGTAGAAGGCCTCGTAATCCAGAAACCTCATATTCGTCAAATCCAAAAAATACACATTCATGATGTCCTTTACTTCTGAGAAAACGCCACTACTCCCTGTCGTCGAACGCACTCTTGACGCCTATGTCAGGAACATGGAACAACGCCGTCGCGAAGGCATCGAGTACGCATTGCTGGTATCAACATTGCTGTTGACGGTCTTCCAATTCCTGGTACTTTACAGTGGCGACAGCCTCGTGCCCGTAGCTCTGGATAGCCGCTACTACGCCCTGTTGGCCCAGCTCGCGCGCGGCCTGCGCATGTCAATTCCAGCCAGCCTGCCCACAGCAGCCATCTTCTTCATTGTCGCGCCGTACCTGGTGCAGAAGGAGCGGGTTGTGATGACGCGGTACGCGATCCTCGTGTGTTATTTGATGGGGTCGACGCTGGGCGCGTTGCTGCTCTAGACGCGCAGGGGTTTTGACTCAACGTGGCTCGCGTGCGGATCGGCGGGCAGCGATAACGGCGGGAAGGCGCATCCTCCAACTTTTTGGGCAGCTTCCATCGCAAGACTCATTGGGCGCAGGACGTCAATTGAGTGAGTCAGACACACAAGGGATACAAAAAGATTATCGGGTATGTATGGTCCCAGCATTGGGCTCCCTCGACCGCTGCTGCCGCGAGAGTTCCTGGGTCATCGCAGTAGTCGCAAACAACGACTCAAGTGTCAACATAGCTAACATCGTCACACAGTGCAATTGATTGCTCATTACGTATCCCAAAATGCCCCTCACACGGCCCAACCCGCGATTCCTCGCCCGCACAAACCGTATCTTCACCTCGCAAATACGAACATACGCTGCACCCGGCGACGGCGTGATCCCACCTGCGAAGAAGAAGTATGTTCCGACTTCAGGCACATACCCGCTCGGATTCAAGGCTGGAAGTGCGCATGTTGGTGTCAAGGCGTCCAACACCCGCTTCGACGATCTTGCTCTCATCGCATCCGACACACCATGCGCGGGAGCGGCCGTCTTCACAACGAACAAGTTCCAAGCTGCTCCAGTCACTGTCAGCAGGGACATGCTGAAGAAGAGGAAGGGCGAGGGAATCCGGGCTGTCGTAGTAAATTCAGGATGCGCCAACGCAGTGACGGGACGTGGAGGTATCGAGGATGCTATCTCCATGGGCCATGAAACCGACAAGTGCTTCATACAAGACAAGAACGGGCAAGACGACCTGAAAGGAAGCCGGAGCATTGTCATGAGCACAGGTGTCATCGGCCAGCGCCTGCCCATTGACAAAATTACCTCGAAGATACCCACTGCATACTACAATCTCGGAGACACGCACGAACACTGGCTAGGCACCGCACGTGCAATCTGTACGACCGACACATTCCCCAAGCTCCTCTCCAAGACATTTTCGTTACCGAGCACTCAACAAGAATACCACATTGCGGGTATGACTAAGGGCGCAGGCATGATCCATCCCAACATGGCCACGCTTCTAGGCATAATCTGCACAGACGCCCCCGTCGCCCCTTACCTGCTCCGTCAAGCACTTGTCGCCGCCATTGGAAAGTCCTTTAACAGCATTTCCATCGATGGTGACACATCTACCAACGACACAGTAGCTATCCTAGCCAACGGTGCCGCCGGTGGACAGCCCATTACCTCAGCCGATTCCAAAGACTTTGCCGCTTTCCAAAAAGTCCTCACAGACTTCTCGATTGACCTGGCGAAACTGGTCGTCAGAGACGGCGAAGGTGCGACGAAATTTGTCACCATCAAGGTGACAAATGCCGCGTCTTACAAGGATGCTCACCGCGTAGCCTCGACCATTGCGCGCTCACCGCTCGTCAAGACAGCCCTGTACGGAAAGGACGCAAACTGGGGCCGTATCTTGTGCGCGACGGGTTACGCCGAAGGCGTCGACTCCGTTGTTCCCGAAGAGACGAGCGTTAGCTTTGTCCCCACGGACGGCAGTGAGGAGTTGAAGCTACTTGTCAAGGGTGAGCCGGAGCAAGTTGATGAGAACAGGGCAGCCAAGATTCTAGAGGCTGAGGATTTGGAGATCAAGGTTAGGCTGAGTGAGAAGGAAGGCGAGGAGGCTGTCTTCTGGACATGTGATTTTAGTCACGAGTATGTTACTATCAACGGTGATTACCGGACGTGAGAAGGGGTACATATGAAATTTTATCGAGCGATTCATCTATTACTGCAGATGGAGTGTGCATGCATCATGTTCCGTATTGTGGTTCCCTATGCCCAAGACTTCTGCGGATCACATCACAACCCTGTGAGCTTCTCTCTGCCAATACAAAAGCCAAATTTTCAAAAACTGCCACATACGACCACAGGCAAAGGACTACTCCGGATCCCGTCTGCTCTCCACACGATAAACCTTTAACCGGCGAACTAGTAGTCAGGTGGGTGACCACTGGCGAATAATCGCTGTTGTATGTTTTTTGCATATGCTCAAGCCTCTACTCTTCCCGGATCAACCTATAGTGCGCGAGTCTAAAGGAGGTAAAGCATGCGCGATAAAACTCGAAATAGTACTTTCTGCGAGAGTTGCCGTATGCGTACATCCGGCTCCCCTCAAAGGAGATAGATATCCCAAGGTTCACATTGAAGCACGTACGTATATGCCTACGAAGCCGTGTAGAAGCGCAGACCACGTTGCTATGCGGCGTTACTTCTTTTCACAACTCTGATTACTTCAACATTGCCGTGGGACGCTACGGGTATGTATGTACGAATGCATGTACATACTACTCCTACATGATGACTATGCATGCACGCATGTCCGCCCCGCCTCGCCATGCACGTTTAGTATTGGTTACCGCTGTCGATCGGGTAAGCGACTGTATACCGTTCCATGGAACGCCATCGTCTTGACCTACCGAGACTGCCGACATACGTGCCCTAGGGTCTAGCTGCGTGGTCCATTTGTGGGGCAAGTACAGACTAGAGAGTTGCGCTGCGTATGCAGGTGCATTGACGATCGTGGCTAGTGTTCCGGACTTTGGGTAGGTGAACGGTAGACCGATGGACCGAGGGCACGCTATTCTTGCTGCATAGAGAGGGGAAGTAGAGTTCCTTTTTGCGGGAGGAGGGGCATTGTTGGGACGAATGGCCTTTCGTTGGGAGGGAGTTAGGAGAAGAGGGGATGGGAAAAGCAAAGGTCACGGAAAATTATCTCGACGCGAAGTACTAGTGTGTATAGGCAGTCCACGTATCGTCATTTGGTGTATGAGTTCTGTTATTAGAGGCAGACTGGTCAGAAATATACGAATAAACATCAGATTGACGGAAGCGCATGTTTGTAACCGGTACCAAGCTAAGCAGCTCATGAACTGGGATGGAAGTAATCAGGCACATTGTTTAGAATCAGGTAACATGTTTAATTTGCTGAGCAAGAAATACTATGGAATCCGCTGCGTTCAGGCATGTTCTCATTCTCGTCGATATCATAATTATGCCATGTAAAAATGACCATCTCTGTTCGAGTCCAGTAGCCGCCTCAATAGATCATTACGCTTGCATCGCTCAAAGAAACAGGAACCCAGAACACCGTAGTAGAGACAGTGACAGGGGCAATATGTACGTCCGCGTGGCCTTACAACGCCTCGCCCAATAAGAAGATATGTCGAATTAGACGTTAAGAGTAGGAGGGCCAGCCGTTGCTATCGTGGGTATCGTTGGTCGTTACATCGTGAGGCGGAGTTATCCAATGGATAATCCAAAGTAGGAGGAGTCGAAGTGATGATCTTGGGCACCGTGATATGGAAGGCCAGGAGGTAAGAGCTAAAAGATGTAGTCGCAAGATGAGGGGTATCGAGAATGGCGAAGAATGAGGTATCCAGATCCAGATGATGAGATCCAGGGGTGGCGTACAAAAGTAATGTTGAGCCAAAAGCCAGTTATGATGGCGGGGTGGTAGTCGATTTAGAATCGAGTAGTAGAACTACGAGCCAAGCTTGGTCTCGCAGACTTCTTCTGAGGCGATCCGTTGGGAGCGACGGCCAAGGTCCTTGCTCCAATCTTCTCAAAGCCTTGAAGCAGGTCAATACCTGGTTCAGACTCGTCACTGTGCAACAGATGGAAGATGTCCTCGTCATCCTGCTGTGGCTGTTGCGGCTTTGAGGGAACGTGGAAGGATTGAGGAGGCGTAAGACCGGTGTGTGCGTTCTCTTTCTTCGGCTGGGGAAGAGCGAACTCGGACAGAGAGGTAGATGCATTAGACTTCAGCACGGGAGCCTTGATGGGCGACATCTTCTTGGCAGGCGAGAGGTCTGGGATGTTGAGGAAAGACGATGACATCTTCCAGTTGGGAGTAGGTGAGTTGGTCATGTTCCCCTTGGCGCCAGTAATGTCGGCGAGAACACCGCTTGTGGTGACGGCACGTTCGAGGCGGGGGCGCTTGGCTGAACGCTTGAGGGGGCTCTCGTTGTAGCCAAAGTCCCCAAAGATGTCAAAGGTACTCTCGAAACCATGTCCGACGAGGTTGACGTTTTCTTCGTTGGGGATAGATACAGCTGGGCTCCAAGCTTTGTTGTCAAGGAAGGAAGTGTCAACCCACATAGCAAGGGTCTTGTCTGGTGAGCCGCCTACTAGTTCTCGCATCTTGTTACGATGGTTGCGTAGATTGGTGTTGGGCGATGCAGAAGCGGGTGGAAGAGCAGGCCGCTTGAAGACAATAGCAGGGGTAAGAGGATCGAGAACCTTGGTACCCTGGCGGACCGGCGAGGAGATGGCAGACTGCTTGTGAGACCTAGGCTTGGTGGGAGAATCGTAAGAGGAGCCACGTATCCGGGCAATCTCTTCTTCAGCACGTCCACGCTTAAGGTTGGGACGATCGAGATCCGCCTCGGAAGTGAGTAAAGGTCCCATTGGGTTACCCTTGGTTGCAGACGATTCGATGGACGAGTAGTAACCGCTGTCACCGAGACCGTTGAACTTGCGCCGGCGTCCGCCCGAACGGCTGTTGGGTGCGAAGTGTGGAGCGCGTGGCGGTGTGTCCTCACGCACTGAACGAGATCGAGAGACAGGAGGAGGAGGTGATGAGTGGATATCAGCTGGTGGAGGCGAAGATGGCATCTGACGGGGCGGTGGCATGCTAATAGGATCATGGCCGTCATGCGCAGCAGGGTCAGAGCAAGGGATGGTAGCTTCGGAAGAAGGTAGCTCGGCCTCTTCCGGAAATTTGCTCGAGTCAAATCCCTTTGTCGAACTCATGGGTGGGAAGCTAGCCGACATGGATGTGGAAGGACGCGGGAGATCACTAGCATATGCCGGAGCAAGGGACTCTGGAGGTGCCGGTCGGCGAACGGGCTTGACCTTGTGGTACTGCTTCTCGAATCCAGCATTAATGACCCAGTAGTGGCCTTTTCCAGGGTCGTCCTTGGGGCGTTCTTGCTTGGAAAACGATTTGCTCAGACTAAGGTTGTGGCGGATGCTATTTTGCCATCCAGTCTCTTGGGAGTTGCGGTAGAAAGCGAATGTGTCGGAAATCCATTTGTAGATCTGCGCGAGGGTCAACCGACGGCTCGTTGATCTTAGAATAGCCATGCCGATGAGCATCGCATAGCTGTAAGAAGGCTTGTTGCCGTCGTCCTCAACGGTGGGCATTTGGTCTGGGTTGGGTAGCGGTCCGTCCACGTCTTCGATCTTGATGTCCTTGACGAACTTCTGCTTCTTGGTGATGTTCATATTGGTGCGGTCGCGTAGCGGGGCGGCGTCCATCAGTGGTCGCTTGTTTCCCTGCTTCAGGGGTGGCTCTGCCGCTGACATGGCGGACATGACGGGGCCAGAATAGTAGGCGTTCTCCTTATCCATGTGGGACGGATAGCCGGGCCAGTACTGGAGTTCGCCGACCATTGGATCTGAGTCCTGCGAACGCGCAGCCTGGGTCTTCTTGGTGGGCGCGTCGGTGCGAAACCACTGCTCTTGCGGCGGCGGTATCTTGACCGTGTTGAGGCCCTTCTCGGTAAGGGCGCTGGGTGGAGGCGAGCTGGAGACTTGGCGGGTCTTGCGAGGCGATGCTCTGGCGGTGAAGGGTGCGGGAGGGGCGAGGAGGGTGTTTGAGTTGTTGGACACGTCGGTGATGGACGTGAAGGCGTCGAGGTCGCGTGGATCAAAGGCGTTTGCTTGGTGGTGGTCGTGAGGCTGTACAGGGTCTTGAAAAATCTGCATGGAGTGTTGTCGACGCGCTGCAGCCATGGCGAGACTGCGCTACAAGGGCACCAACAGCCTTGTATAGTCTCTCCAGACGCTTTGACGCGTGAAGTCGCGTCTAGAAATCCAAAATGGGTCCGTCGAGGCGACTAAGCACGGTCGGCAGGTGCGGTGTTGACTAAGATTGCGGTGACGAGGGCCAAGTGAGTCGTTGAAGGGGCGGTAAGGTGCAGGCTGTCAATTGTCGGAGGGAGTATGCTGCCTGTCATGTGCGGTGCAATTCTACGTGACTTTGTGAGAAAGGAGCGCGTTTGAGGGAGGGTGGGCTGCTATCTAACCTGTGCTGATGGGATGAGGCAGCGGAGCAATTCGCTTAAGGGCGCTAAAAAAGAACCTCTGACGACAGTAATGCCGGATCTGCAGCGGGAGGGCGGTGTGCGTTTTCTTCTGATAGCAAATAATGGAGGAATGCGGCGGGAGAGATTCAAAGACACAAAGTGGGCGATGAAACAAGAAGAGGAGATCTTGGGCCGCTGCTGGAGCGTGGAGAGAAAGCGGGCAGGACAAGAGGGCAATAGGCAGGCTTGGAGGCAGCTGCAGCGCACCTTCCTTGGCTGCCACCGCAAACGCACCTACAAGGAAGGAGCAAGGGAGCGTGGCCAATGAGGGGGTCCGAGCACGAGTTCCCTCTGATCGATCGCACGTCATGCCCATCTTGCCCAGGAACAACCTCGCGCCGGCAATTACACTAGCCAGCTGTTTGCAGTGGGCGTGCACGGTAAGGCTGCTGCCATTGACGCCCATCTGAAACCCATTGCTTTTGCCCGCCGTGGGATCCAGCACCCAACGCCTGTGGCGACGACTGGGAGAGCCACCGACGTGCAAGCGCCAGTGCAACGCGTCGGTGAAACAACTGCCCCGTCGCAGCCAGCTATGCTGCAAGCCGGTGGATAACAGCTATCGTATGCCTAGGGAGTTGCCCCGGAGCGCAATGCACAGCCTATCGAGTGCCAGACGGTGGCACACTCTGATCCGAACACTAGGGGCGCATGAAACTCGACAAACTGCACCCTGGCCTTAGGTGCAGCTCAGCTCAACCACTAAAGCCACACGCCCACATCCCAGGGGTACGCAGTCCACGCTGCATCGCTACCCTCGTGGTCCAGAAGGGTCTCTCGAGGCTACCACCGACATCTCATTTCGATCTCAACTCCAGCGCACGGAACTTCTCCTGCATCGCGATCACAAACTCGCAAAGGAGATGAACTGTCATCTGGTCGACCACCTGCGCGAGAACTCATCTTGGAACACTACGTGAAAATCGGGTACCTCGTCGTAGTGCGCTCCGAGTATGCCGTCTTCATGCGCGGAAGCCTTCGCTACCATGCCTGCGTGTCAGCTTACCCCAGTACTGCACCCCACTCAACAGTCATATCGCATATGCCGCATCCGGTCTACCGGCTTGTACAGCTCTTGCTCTTTCTTCTGTCCATTGCGATATTCTTTCATCATGCGGCTCAGCTCCTGTTGAAAGGCGCAACGCTCAGGTGCCGGCTAGGTACCCGTCAACAACGTCTGTGGTTCCATTAATAACCTCCTAAGCGAGTCTTTACAGATCACGATGCGGAGCCTCCTCCGTGATTAGCAGCGTGGGGCGGACGGCTCATCATGGTGATCAGCGGGTAGCCGCAACTTCGACCTCAACAGCGTCTGTTCTCTCGTGCGTCTAAACCCGCAAACAGGCTTGTGTAACCAAACCGGGAAGTATGCTTCCAAAGCGGAGGGCACCGGCTGGTCCTTTTCGGTGCTTGCTTGACTCCGTCCGTGAAATCTCCCGCCCGACGTTGACAGTGCTGTCGGATCGGAGCCCAGAATTCAGGCCGGCACTTGCGGAAATACGATTTTATGGCCAATCAGAGAAAACATTAATCGTATCATTTTCTAATCTCAAACTGCCTACTTGAATTCTAAGACGGTGAAATTGAAACCGTATACAAACCATCAGTCCAGGAAATGGGAAGGCCAAATGGACAAACACCGGGCCTCACTCAATTCTACACGCCCTGCAATCCAGTGTCTGTTCATTCCAACCTTCTCACCTGATTGCAAAGCTGACGTATGCTCTGGCACTTACTTGTCATGCGCTGAACTCATGACATGAACGATCCGGCAATAAAGCGCTCACGCGACCTGTCATGAGCTGCGAGCGTGTTTTGCGCCGGGGAAGTTCCCTTGACCCTTAGAATGTACCTGGATGAGAGCTCATGCTACCCTTGCAAAAATGTGCCACTGCGGTTCTGCATGGTACAGCCTGTGGGCATGGCACTTGAGTGCGATACCCGACCAGATCACCATCAGAAAGTTTGCAAAGGGTCGCATTACTAGGCATGTAACGCTGTAATGTACATATCCACATTGATCCTGTCCCTGAATGTCGATGGGTGTTTGCCCATGAGCCGTTAACGAAGATCATGGAATGCACAAGGATGTACATTATCTGTGAAAATACCGGATACATTCGGGTAGTTGCGCTTGTCAGTGTCTTTACAGTAAGTTCATTTGACTATGTAATTTCACGTCGCTGTCGTCACAGACGAGCCTAGTGATCGTACTGACACCAGACCATGTTTCAAGCGTTTTGAGAACGCTATACATCATCCCGAAGCCTGCTGGACGGCATTTCATCAACCCGATGTTACTTGAGTTGAATCAGCACAGTGACATGGAGTTAGAAGAAATGACCATGAGATTCAGCGATGATGTACCTGGGTCTGCTAGCAATGGAAATTACAGTTGCTTCTATCTGTTCTGTTCCTGACCGATACATTGACTTGTGTTCCAAGACACAATGGACGCACTCTCGTTCTTTCGGACATCTTCCGTGGTAGATTATTATTGTACGAGAAATGAACGAGAAAGCGTTCTGCGATCGAAGGCATACAAAGCATGCTGAGTGTGACACGAACACATGATGGCAATGTTTACATGCAACTTTGTATCGAAGAGAAAATATTCGGGTATCTAGGTACTAACTTAGTGCACCAAAAAAGGTCTATGTCTATCTCTTGATTCCGCCGACAATGCTGACATGCTCATCGGCAATGTCTAATCTCAAATGATCTATGTGAAAACTCCAGACAAAGTAAGACATCGTTCATCGACTTCAGAATCTCTGCTTCAAGGCCCAACAAATATTTAGTTCCTTCGAGACCCGATCCTGAGACCTGGTATTCCCTTCAGGCCCATCTTGCCGACTGTGGACTTCTCCAACATGGGCGGCTCGGGGCAGCCCATCGTGTACGCGTAATCATTAGCGAGACGAACTAGATCGGCTGTAGAGATCTGCAGCTTCTTGACGAAAGTCTTGTTGTAACCAAGGAACGCCTGGTACGCCTTTGTCTTCGATGTCTCATCAACATTGGTGAAGGCTCGGTCAATGTTTGCTTGGTGCGAGGGTAGACGTGACACAAGGTCGACGGGGTAAGGGTTGATAGGCAGCGTCTTGTTGATCCTTGGGAAGAAGGCTTCTTGCTCGAAGAGAACGAGGACGGCACGTCCATCTTTACCGGCACGAGCTGTTCGGCCGACACGGTGAACGTACTGGTCGGTGCTTGAGGGGAGACCCAACTGAACGACGAGGCCAACGTTGGGGAAATCCATGCCGCGCCCGACGACGTCGGATGCGAACAGAATACCGCTTTGAGCGTCCTTGAACTCCTGGGTAGTGCGTGTGCGTGCAGGCTGAGACATGCGGCTATGGAGCTCAAATAGCTTGAACTGGGGCAGCGCATTTCGGTAGAGGTCATAGAGCAGTCCGACACCGTTCGCGGTGGTACCGAAGACAATGGCTTTGAAGCCGGTGGGGTTCTGGTTGTACTCCTCCTCGATCAGGGCTGACAACGCAGGGAAAGTCTGACCGACAGTAGGAACAGAGAAGAAGAATTGTGGTACGCGCTCGTGGGTCGGCACTTCGTTCGGGTCGACAGTCGAAAGATGTGTGTAACCAGGGAATAAGACGATCTTGGCGATGTCAAGAACCTCCTTGGGGAGTGTGGCAGAGAAACACATTCCTTGCCAGCCATCGTTCTTTGGGGGAATGCGCCTGAGTATCTTCTTGACCGCAGGTGCAAACCCGGCATCGAGCATCTGATCAGCTTCATCGAGGATAACCGTCTTCAGATCACTGAACTTTTCGCGAACTTCCTCTTCACCCAGAATGTCGTCAAGGCGACCGGGAGTAGCGACCAAGACGGTAGGGTTGCCCTTCATGAAGGCCTTAAGGTTCGAGGCACGGGAAGTACCACCAAACGCAGTATGGCACTCCATCTTCTGGGGCAGACACGATGTGACACCGTTGCACTCCTTCGCAATTTGTAGAGCCAGCTCGCGGGTAGGGCAGACGACGAGGATGGCGACCTTGCCTTTCCGGGGCATGTTACCGGCTAGGAGATTTTGGATTGCAGGCAGTAGGAAGGCCACGGTCTTGCCCGTACCAGTCTTCGCCTGTACAACACAGTCGGAGGAGGAACTGGGCAGCTCAGTGAGAACCTTTTGTTGAACAGGGGACATGTATCTGTAAGAGTCAGCGACCGTGCTGGGAGAGTGCAACGTAAGAAGGGCTATGCTTACTCAAATCCCATCTTGTCCAAGCCATTTAGCAACGCTGGATGGAGCTTGTTCTTCAGGTCGGCGAAGGGCTTCGGTGCCGCATCGCCCGCCGCAGTGCTGTACATCTGCCGTACGTCGACGCCCATATCTGGCTTCGGCAGCGTGTCTTCAACTCTAGGACGTTTTGGTTGCTGCGACATGGTCGAGCGAGCGTTCGCAGGTCCTCGCCCGGGTGTGCCATTGGTACGGTCACCGCCGCCACCGCCGCCGCCTCCACGGCCTCCTCCTCTGCCGCCGCGGGTCCATTTGCGCTTCGGTGGTGCGGACATGTCTGGGACTGGTGCTGGAAGTGAGGTGTACTGTCTGTGTTGGGTGCGGTTGAGTGCGAAGGGGATTGTCGAGATGAGGCTATGTCTTGTATTAGTTGCTAGAGAGCGCGGCTGAACGAGACGAGCAAGAGCGAACGGGCGAGATGAGAGAGTGTGTGAAACTAGTTTCATTATCTTCATTCGTACATACAAAGTAATCCGCACTGAGAAACTAGAGAAAAGTAGAGACGCCGAGGGGTTGTGGATACTGAGAGCGATCGTACCCTTAGTTCGCCTTCCGGCCAGAAAAAGTTCAGCGCCCCGAGTCAGTCTGTGCTTTCTGCGACCGCTCGCTGAGTCAGCCATCCTCCGACCTATTCACGCCCGTCATACTGACAACAACACCAACCTCGAACCATTGGCGCGCTCGTTAGCCATCTACAGGCGTACAGTCTCGAAATTCAGAGAGTGATATATAGGCACCCACTGCGACGTCTCACGTTCGAGCGGAGGAGACTTCTGGAGCACTCTGCTTCACCTAAGTACCCGTCACCAGCTACAATCAAGCCATGTCTAGTGCCTCGTGATCTACACGCATGATGCTGCTAAACGTGACCTCAAAGTCCCCAGTACCCTCTCTTTGCACAATATTGTAGCATGGCTCTATGAATTTGGCGTAATCTTCACCCACCAGCGTCCAAATCAACTCGTCTGCCGGAGTGTTTAGGACAGCAACGAGCCGAAATTTGATTCGGAAATGCGTCCGGAAAGTCTCAAAAAGTTGATACATGTATTCCACTACGTCATCAAGATACAATGCCCTGGTCTGGTCGTCAGGGTCTGCATAAGTGGCGTCTACTGTGGGGACAGTAATATATATTTCGACATCTCCGCTCGTACTTGGGTTCCGTAGTTTGTCCATTGTCATCTCCAGGAATTCGATCAGGAGACGTCGTTCCGCTGTACTCAGGGGGATCGGGGCGGCGGTATTGCATTTCGTAGCAATATCACTAAACCAGTCTCGTACCAGTGTGGAAAGCGTAGGTAATCGTGATGGATCTCCGAGTTCGCTGAAAATTCTCTTGTAATGGCTGGGATTAAGATACTCGTAAAGTAGTGTGTTGAGATCATGCGAAGTTGACTTTTTGACTCGCACCCAATCTTGCTGACCATCTGTCGCGTTTGGTGGATTGGCTTCAAGCCAGCGCTTACCCCATGTATACGTATGTGCGAGTAGTTGCAAGAGGCGAGGCAACTGCTTGATGCCCTTCCAGTGCACGAAAAGGCGTGCTTCCTTCTCTCGGTCGAGCGCATACAATGTGTCGCTGGCAGCTTGCTGGATCTCCCGGCTGACTCCAGTGATGCCAGAACTGTATGCAGTGGCCACCCAACGTACATGTTTGATCCCAGGAACAGTATTGAGGGCCATACGATTTGCGTTCCATTTGTAGATTTCTAGGCGAAGTTCTTCTGGGAGCGCGGCGAAGCCAGTTTTGAGTCTGTCGATTGAGTCCATAGTAGGGTGAATACTCATAGCTTTTTGCTTTCTGGCTATTGATACGGTGGTGGGCTGATACGTAGTAGGCCTTCGTGTCCTACTTACAGGTTGTCTGTGGTCTTTGATGGCTTTTTGTCGAAGTTTGACCCTCTCAATGACGGCAGATCTTAGAGTGGCGTCGTTTGGAGGTAAAACCTCAAGAGATGCAGATGTTATTGAAGGACTCTACTGTGTCGTAGCTCGAGAAAAGAGGTGTCCGTAGCGATGTAATAAGCTTACTGTGGGCAGTTTACAACCGTGGTTTCGCGTACCCGATTTTGTGTTTTCGTCTAGGTCTTGCTTGAAATGCAGTGGTTGTGAGTGGCTATCCAGAATCTCTATCACCAGATGTCTGTACCTGAGAACAATCCAAGCTACATGAAGAAATTCATCGTCGAGATTCATCAGAGCGCAGGCGCAAAGATTAGAAGAAAGGGCCCTCTCGTCACGATTCATCGTAGACCACAACAGACCTCGGAAATACCTAGGTACTTCGTTCGCGCGTCTACCAAGCTACCCCCCACCTGCGAATGCGCAGCCGTTAGCATGATTTGTTATAGCTTACTAATGTCGTTGCGAGGAGAATCAGGGAAGTGATGATATCTGTACTCCTGAAAATGAGAAGGATGTCTATGGCCGTGACGCACCAACAGCGCGACACAAGCATTGCCCAGGTGATGACCTGCTTGGCAGCGAAGCTTAGCTACGATCGCGCGCTAGGACGCAGACGGCATGATCGAGACCGCAATGGGCCTGTGTCCCCTCGCTGATGCAGGATGGCTAAACATAATAGCATTTGGCGCCAGACTTCATCAGCGCTGCAGACAGACTCGATACTGTATGGGTCACTCTCATGACATTAGCTGTTTCGCAAGCTCCAGTGCTCACCCTAGTCGGTTTGATCCCAAGAGACGCCCCAGCAAGCTTCGCAAGCGGTATCGAGAGACAACGCAACTCGCATATGATTAGGCCGAGGGGGCAGACAAAAAGAATCGCGCAACGCAACAGCCTAGCGACCCAGCATCGGGGATCCGCGTAGGTTCACCCGCGCATGGTGTGCAGCTGCAGCGAGCACGGTGTCTGCCTCCGCGGGTAACTTTCTTGTATAGCTGGCGACGACCCAGGCAGTGCTTTCTGCCCTTGCGTACATAACACATCGTCGGGCCTCCATACTCCAGCTAAACAACACCTGCAAACTTCAGGTGCTACTGATGAGACCGAACTTTTGCACCCACCAAGAGCCCCCGCCCAACCACTCTCCACCGTGGACAGACCCTGTGTTCCTTTGACGACTTGGCAGCCAAGAGCATTTGCGGCTCTTGAACAAGCCTTCTGCGCGACCCAAGCTGTACGTAACTGCTGATCCATCATACATCCATCCCTTCCTTCGCGCCCCACAAGCGTCCCGATTGCTGTCCGCTGTCCGCTGTCCGCTGTCCGCCTCGTGCCCGTCACGTTAGCATCCATGGGGCTGCGGCGCCGTGCACGACGGCTTGTCTTTGCTCACGCTAGAGAGCACTGCCACCATCACCATCGTCGTTCCCCGCGTGGGACCGCGAGACATCACCGTATTGCCACGATTACGCCGTGTCCACCGCAATGCTGACCAGAGGTGCGCGCTATCCAGTTGCCTGTCACCGACCTTGTCCATCGCCATCACCACAGCCCCCCGTCCATCTGAGACAGTTGCGCGTCGCCGTTGCGTGCGCCAGCCCCGAAGCGATCGCACAAGAACCACAACACCATATACCGGACACCTGACCGCGTCCTCCGCCGTGCTGGTTGCGCCTATCGTTCTGACTAGCCACGCAAAGCCATCTTCGCGATATACCTACCGACGGTCGCGTGCGCCTCCCGACACCGGTGCCTGCACGCAACAGCTCGTCCCGGCGGCCCAAGCGACTAGCTTGTACTGGCACATTTGTGGAATCGCGTGGGCTTCCGGAGACGACCGTCTATACTGCGGATAGCCGCATGATGTGCCTGGTACACGGAGTATGACTTCCAGCCAGACACGTGCAGCTGCTACTCCGTCCTCCCCAGTGTCGAGCCGGTCGTTTCTCTCTCGGCTCAAATCGCCCTTGACATCCAAGTCCCGCAACTACACCGAATTCTATATCCAATCAGATGACCCCCATCGCCATTACACGCCGGGCGACATCATTAGTGGGACTGTCATTATCAAGATCGTCAAACCCCTGAGAATCACTCATTTGGTCGTATCTTTGCACGGCTATGCGCAGGTTTTCAAGAACCCAAATACTCCCGGAGACGCCTACAAGAACTACTGCTCAACAGTCGGCTCTGGGAGAGGGAAAAAGGCAGTGAGCTACTTTGGCAATGGATTCGTTTCGCTGTTCGAGGACGAGGTTGTGCTTTGCGGCGAGGGAAGACTGGCTGAGGGTGTATACCACTTTAACTTCGAACTCGAGTTCCCCTCCAAAGGCTTACCCAGCAGTATTGACGTGAGTAGCGATTCGTCTGCGGTTGACAGACTTACTAACAACCTATCACAGTTCGAGCGCGGAACGATATCTTACATGCTCAATGCCACCTTGACACGCCCCACGACCATGTCGCCGACCGCGTCATGCGACACAAAGGTCTACCTCACCGAATCGATCGACATCGCGCCCGTGCCGCAGCTGAAGCCCCGTGTCATTTCTTTGGAACCCATATCTAGACGAACACGCGCTAGGTCGACACGGAAACGGCCAATAGAGGAGACGTCACATACACCCTCTGGCTCGGAGCCTCAGTCAGTGGGGTCCGCCTTGGAAGCAACTAAGACCATCGATGAGACGGAGGGTCCACGGAGCCCCTCGCCTAGCGACGTAAGCTATGAGAGTCAAAGGAGTAGTGGAAACGCTTCCGGAACAGAGTACGGCGTTCGTTCGATCAACACGGCTACAGATGGATCAAACTCACAGAATGGAAGTCGAGCGACACTGAAAGGAAAGACAATCACAGCCACGATCGACGTGCTCAAGGGCGGCTTTCTCAGAGGCGACCAAATACCGATCAAAGTGACCGTGAATCACACGAAGCATATACGAAGCTTGAAAGGTATCATCATCACGTTGTATCGTCAAGCACGAGTTGACATGCATCCTGCACTGCCTGTCGTACCAAACAGCAAAGGCGACAAGACCAAGTCAGAAGATTACTATCCGAAATCGAGGACTGGCCTAGGAGGGTTATCCCTCTCATCAGCTGGATCCAGTCACTTGTTCCGAAAGGATCTGTGCCAATCTTTTGCACCACTTTTCGTCGATCCCAGAACGCTCATGGCCGAGGTGAAGTGTGCGGTGCGCGTACCGGATGAAGCTTTCCCCACAATATCAAACGTACCGGGCGCAATGATATCCTTCAAGTACTACGTCGAGGTCGTTGTAGACATACAAGGCAAGCTCACAGGCCTCGACCGAATGGTGTCCAACGCTGGGCTTGTCAATCTGCCTTCAGCAGCTGGAGGCACCTCTGCCATGACACGTGACGATGCTAGCGGCAGTATGTTCTCAACTTGGGGAGGCAACTTTGTCGACACCGATCAGATTCGCCGCGAGAAGGGCATCATCTCTGCTTTATTCGAAGTTGTCATCGGTACCAGAGACAGCGACAGGAACGGCAAGAAGAAACAGATACAGGAACAGCCGGCTGATGACAATGGCGCCTACGGAGGATACAACGATGAGCAGGGCTACGATCAGTACTACTACGAGCAGGACGAGAACGGGCAATACTACGATTACAATTACGATCCAACGTATGACGACGTCCCCGGATATGAACAACATAGCGTAGGCAGAGCACCAGGGTTCCCTGTGCCTGCAGATGTTCCTCAAGAAGAGCAGGGGATATCGGAGAAAGAACGGTTGCGACGAGCAGAGGAACGCTTATTACCTTCTCAACCACCAGATGCTGCTGGATCCTCTACGCCTTCAGGGGGTGCTCAATACGGCATACCTGCGTCAGCGCCCGTGCTGCCGGAAGATGATGATCCAAACCCTCCTTACGTCGCAGTAGCTTCGTCGTCTTCGACTCCAGCCCATCCTCCGCCTCCATTTCGTGCGACATCTTCGCCAATGTTGTCGTCACGCATGACATCATCACCATCGTTACAGCGCCGTGTTACGAACATCACAGATGACGAGACGAGAACTATTCGGACTGCGTCCTCGCATACCATACATCCCAGTCGATCAGAGCCACCCGTTAATGGCGAAGATAACGACCCATCAAAACCACTGCCGCCATTACCACCCCAATCGTCACACATGGCACAAGGCTCCGCACCAGAGTACGTCGCTGGTTCGTCATCACATGTCGAACCTACCGATGACAAGCAGGAGATGCAGCGACGTAGACTGGAAATGGAAAGAAGTGCACCGCCCACAGATCATGATGAAGATGGAGAGTCCTCACATGCTCTTTCAGCGCCACCACTCAATAGAATGCAGAGCTTACAATTGGTACCCTCGGCGCCTGCGCTAAATGACGAAGACGAAGATCTCGTGGGCGCTGTACGCCCAGGTCGAAGTACGCAAGGTGCGCCGCAAGATAGCAGGCGGCAAAGCGAAGCCTTGCCGGAGTACCGGAGGTGACATGCATGACAACGGCGTTTGTGGTATTTCAGGCGCGACCATGCATAGAAAGGAGCGTTGCGCACAGCGGAATCTTATGCGGGAATCTTTTCAAAACGCAAATTTACAGGAAATAGTTGGGTGGTCGACTCTTATGATATCCTTGAATTATATTACATTACTTTGATGCCTGAGCCCTCAACTTTGAGAAGACATTGCCTGCTTGTTCTGCCATGACTTGGTCTATCACACTTGAGACGAGAATCGTGACTCTTATAGTGGCAAACTGTCCCTGCGACAGGCCCGCGATATTCTGCGCATGCCCGGCTCACCACTCTCTCTCTGTCCTCAGAGGTCTAGGGCTCACTTCATCTCCCGTAGTCGGCGTTCGAGGACGGTCTCGAGATCACGAGAGTGCGCGTTGTGTATCTTCTGCAAGCTCGCTAGCTGCCTGCCCATAGCGGTTTCGATATTGATCTTTTGACCGACAAGATCCTGGAGACGTTTGAGCTGTGCTTGATGGGCTGTTGATCTGAGGTACTGTTAGTCTGTGGCTCATCATCTTTTCCATGACTACGTTGCTTACGCCTCAGCCTCGTGTGTGTCAAAGACTGCATTGATAGAGTCTTCCAACTCCTCTTTCTTTTTGTTGTAAGCTATACCTACATTCTTCTTCGACATGTCATGATGCTTGCGTCGCTGCACATGTGGTTAGCCTCATGTCTCCGACGACCGAATAACGAGGCGAGTGTGGGTCATAGACGCGAACATGGAGACGACAGTCTGCTGGTGATGGGCCCATCTCAACATACGTCGTCTACCATCTTCACCATCATTTGTTCCAGCGGACCATCGGAAGTGCGCTGCAAAGCTTCTGCCTCATCATCTCCAGCATGTTCATCGTCGATCGCGCTATTGCCTTGGTCGAGATCTTCTGCCTCATCAGCTTCGTTGATGACCTGTTTCCGTGAATGCCTTGCGCTCTGGCGAGTGGTGGCTGTAGAGGGGCTTGTGAGTGTGGATTTCTTGGTTGCGCGCGGTGGTGCCATGGCTGCTGTTGGTAAGTGCTGATGATTAGTGGTGTGGGTGAAAGTGGTGATCAATCGTTTTGCCGTAACCTTCGTATTGCGAAAGTCGTTGTGGCTCAAGTGATGGGAGCTTGTGAGTTAGAGGGTGAAAGTCGGAGGCTTGGATACGGCGAGGGATGGCTTCCCCACATGGATGGCGCCAAGATTCCGCGCTAGCGTGCATCCACAGTTTTTTCGGGCTTGTGTTTGCGGACTCCCGCTTTCTCTTCAACAATCACGAAATTGCTCAGTCTGTCCAGTGTTCAGCATGGGTCTCGCAGCGCCGAAGAAGTACGTTCGCCAGTTTGGCTCTGGCTGTTTCCTGCCAAACTAACGCCACACCAGTCGATCGAAGATCTCCAACGATCCCCAAAACACCACTTGGGCGAACAACACGTCGCGCTTCGGCCATCGCATATTGACCTCGCAAGGATGGCAGCCCGGCAACTCACTGGGCGCGACAGACGCCTCCCACGCCGCTCACTATACCGCTGCCTCGCAATCGCACATCCGAGTATTCCTCAAAGACGATAACCTTGGCTTGGGCGCAAAGCGAGGAAGTGAGCGCGCTGAGAACTTTGGTCTTGCAGGACTAGAGAGCATTCTTGGACGTCTGAATGGCAACGAGGCGGAGGTCAAGAAGGAAGAGGAAAGGCGAGAGGAAATTGAGAAGAGGGCTTTTGTCTACCGGAAATACGGCATGATGAATTTTGTGAGCGGTGGTTTCCTAGTGGGCGACAAGATTACCAAGGGCTCGGACATCAAGAAGGAAGTGGAGATCAAGACTGAGATCAAGACTGAGTCGGAAAGCGAGGATGGCGCATCGGCCAAGAAGGACAAAAAGAGGAAGCGAGAGGAGCGCACAGAAGACGAGCCTAAGGTGAAGCGCAAGAAGAAGAGTATGGATTTGCGCGACGAAGCACGGAAGGAGGGCGACTCATCCAAGTCAAAGAAAGACAAGAAGGACAAAAAAGATAAGAAGGACAAGAAGAAAGACAAGTCGAAGAAATCAAAGCGGGCATCCTCATCTGATGCCGAATCTTCCACCGACGACGCCGCCGCTCCGGCATCTGACCCAGAACCGCTCACAGACAAGGCACGGCGGAAGGCCGAGAAGAAGGCACGCAAGGAGGAGAAGAAGGCGAAGAAGGCCCTGAAGAAAGCTGCAAAGAAGGCTGCGAAAAAGGACAGCTCAGACGACTCGAGCTCAGAAAGCGAGGAAGACGAGAGCGCGCCGACAACGATCTCATCGGTACCTGTGTCGAAGACATCTACGCCTGTTCCCGCGGGCCTATCATACACTCCAAGAGGCATGCATGCCGTCAGACAGAAGTGGATCCGGCAGAAGAAGGCTGCGACTATGGATGCACAAGCGATGAAAGAGGTATGTTTGCATTGCTATGGCTTGATGTGCTTTCCACTAACGTCTCCATAGATATTCATGATCAAGACGCCATCGTAGACTCATCCTGATGAACCGATCTGTACATGCATAGCGAGGAGTTGTCAGGGTTTTTGGTTTAGCATGCACGTGCCGGGTTGTATTCTCAAGTTCCGGGCCATCGCGATAGAGAGCATAGAGATGCCATGTTACACTACGCCAAGTTTGGCTCTGATCTTGATCTTCCTGTCAGTTGATTGCGTCGCGTTGCATGGCGTGGTGTGGCTGTAAGCTTCGTACAACGGACAGTCGGAGCCCGACGATTGCGTGGCAGACATGGTCAGGTCGGGCCTAATAGGGCTTTACATTGATAAGACTCTAATATTCCCCGCGTTTGAACCATCGGTCCTAGTATTAAGCCACCGGGCCCCTCGTCAAGCTTACTGCGGCTGTGGAGGACGGGTGCGCAAAGGCAAGGGGCATTGTTGATATTGTTCGCGTGACTGCGCCCAAGCATCTGAGGTGGATGGGACATGACGGCGCCACCGGTGAGGACTGGGTTGCGTCACAGAGGAGGGAGGCCACTCGGGGCGATGGCGGGACATTTGTTTGTTGGAAATGTGCCGGCAGCCATAGGGCGGTTCCAGAAACAGGGATGCAAGATTACCCCCGTCAGTTCCTGCATGGTGGAGCTGATCACTAGTCCGCCGCCGACTTAGCCCATGTATAATGACCTCGCCCGACTTTGGTACTTGGCCCGCCCGTTGAGCACGACGCCTCCTTGACGGCCAATTCCCTACTCCATTCACTCACGCTCACTTGTCACCTGTTGCTTTTCTTCTTCTTCTTCCACCCGCCATGGCAGCAAACGGCAGCATGCGCAGACGAACCGTCGACGCGCCCGGTAAGGCAATTGTCCCGATGTTGTCCGAGTCCTGTATGGCTAACCCGTACGCAGCGAGCCTTCACCCGCGCACATCGTCGCATTCCACCCAGACACCCGAATCCTCGCCTATAGATTCCATGCCCGCGCAATTGGCCTCTGACATGCCTTCCATTTCCACAACGAAGCCGAACGGCGCGCCTGCGCTGCTCCGGAAACAGTCGTCACCCATGATGCCTCCTTTCATGGTCTCTGCACCCGGCAAGGTCATCGTCTACGGAGAACACGCGGTAGTGCATGGCAAGGTAGGATTACTAGGACAATCATGTCGGGACACGTGCTGACCGTCTGTAGGCTGCCATCGCCGCCGCCATATCGCTCCGCTCCTACCTCCACGTTTCGTTCCTCTCCAAATCGAATCGGACCGTTAAACTGCGCTTCCCTGACATACAGATGGAACACACGTGGAATATCGATGATCTGCCATGGGACAGCTTCTCCAAGTCAGGCAAGAAAAAGTACTACTACGACCTCGTCACCTCGCTCGACCCCGACCTCATGGCCGCCATCCAGCCCTTCATCGACGAAGTATCACCGAAAGCCCCCGAGTCGATACGCAAAATCCACCACGCCTCTGCGTGTTCCTTCCTATACCTCTTCCTTTCCCTCGCGTCGCGCAAAGTCCCTCCGTGCGTTTACACACTACGATCGACCATTCCCATTGGTGCTGGATTGGGCAGTAGCGCCAGTATATCCGTCTGCCTCAGCACGGCAATGCTGCTGCAGATACGCGCACTCAGCGGGCCTCATCAGGATCAGCCGCCGCAAGAATGTGAGCTCAACATCGAGCGAATCAACCGCTGGGCGTTCGTGGGCGAGATGTGCATACACGGAAATCCCTCAGGTGTCGATAACACCGTTTCCTCGGGCGGCAAAGCGGTCCTCTTCCAGCGGAGGGATTACGACAAGCCACCTCTGGTCATACCATTGCATAGCTTCCCCGAGCTCCCACTGCTGCTTGTCAACACACGGCAGTCGCGCAGTACGGCAACGGAAGTCGCCAAGGTCGCCAACCTTCTCAAGGTGCATCCCGATCTCACAGAAAACATCCTCAATGCTATTGGCCTAGTGACGGAATCTGCACACAAACTACTCACATCTCCCGATTTCGATGAAACATCTCCGGACTCACTAAGACATCTCGGTGAGCTCGTCACGATGAACCACGGGCTACTCGTCTCCTTGGGCGTCTCACATCCCAAACTTGAGCGCATCCGCGAGATTATCGATCATACGGGCATTGGCTGGACAAAACTTACAGGTGCAGGAGGCGGAGGATGCGCTATTACTATCCTTAAGCCCCAACCACCAGCCCTCACCAACGGTCATGCGAATGGCGCGCACCACGATACCTCATCAGACGAATCTGACGCCTCTTCCGAAGCGGACGGGGGCGGCGCCGCATCCGTAATATCCAACGGCACAAAGCTGAAGTACAAGATTCTCGACTCTCTTGAGGTCAAGTTAGAGAAGGAAGGCTTCGAGAAGTTCGAGACGACGCTTGCTGGTGACGGAGTAGGTGTACTTTGGCCTGCTGTCCTACACAACGGGAATGAAGAGGAAGGTGGAGAAGAGATTGATCAAGAGAAGTTCCTCCGGGCCGAGGGCACAGTCGGTATCGAGAGACTGGTCGGCGTGTCCAGCTCGAAACGAAAGGGCCCCAGAGAGGTTAGAGAGGGTTGGAAATTCTGGAGACCCTGGGAAGTTCCCGAGTAGTAAACTCGGGTCTTTTGTTCCAAACAACTCGCCTGCTTCCAACATGTTCTGGCAATGTCCTGGTTGGGTTCGAGTTTCATCTTCCGTTCTTGTTTCTTTGTTATTTAGCTAGATATAGGGATCTCATTGTACTTGAAGCCTTGACAGGCGTCAAGGAAAAGGCTAAAGAAGTAATGTCTTGTAGATATGAGATGGCTGATACAATCTGGCTGCAAGGCGCCTGCGGCCGAAGCATGGCCTAGCGTGAGCAGGGCAGCAATAATGGAATCTCAAAGTTCCTCATGCATCAGTTCATTGTACTGCGACTTCTAGTCTGCGATCCACCTACAATAAGCACAGGGTCGTAGCGAATTGAGGTGTGCAGGTAAAGAGTGAATGTGGCGTACCATGTGTGATTGGGCAGCTAATTTTTGGTAGATCAAGCGAGCCACGCGCGACACCTGCAGAAGCCCAACCATTGTCTTGCGCCGTAGTCAACCTTTGATCGTTTCCTTCACCCACACCACTCGCCCATAAAACCCTGCGCCGCCGTCGGAACCCTTGGATACATTACTCCCAACAACACACAGCCCATACCTTTTCACAAACAACTGCAACCATGGCACCAGGAAAGTGGGGTAAGTCATGTTCGCTGCCACTGCGCGCGGTTCAAGATGGTCATGCAAAAACTTGGGACTGACATGGTCTACAGACGACGAGGATGAGGGCAGCACTCCTCCCACATCCCCACAGGTGGCTCCCATCGCGCGCCGCAGCAAGTTCGACGATGAAGAAGAAGACGACGATGTGCGTCAGCCCACCATGCCCCGCGCTCGAATACTTCGAGCCCCGCCACGACCAAATGTACTGACATTGGACACAATAGGTACTAGATTCATGGGACGCCGCCGAGGATTCCGAAGTCGAACGCGAGAAGGCAAAGAAGGCCGCCGAGGCAAAGGC